GTGACCCTCAGGGGTTGGTATTGGGACCACTGCTCTTTCTGATCTATATTAATGATTTGAACCTGGATATAGGGAGCACAATTTCCAAATTTGCAGACGATACTAAGCTAGGAAAAGTAGTTAATGGTGAGGAGGATAGGACTAGACTCCAAGAGGACTTAGACAGATTGGTAAAACGGGCAGAAACATGGCAGATGAGGAGAAACTTGAAGTGTTGCGTTTCGGTAGGAAGAATGAGGAGAGGCAGTGTAAGCTATATCAGGGTGGGCAAAAGACGGCCTGCGGGCCATATCTCGCAGCCTGTTGAATCAGGCTGACATCAGAAATGTACGGATCGGCAAATTTTCAAACACAAACACTGAAGCGGATGTTAATTCGAAATGAGTTTATCAAAGAAGAGGAAAGTGGATGCTGAAGGCCGAATATTCAACAAAGAATGGACGTCTAAATATTTTTTTACCTGTGGAAAATAAAATAAATAAACTAAAAATAAATTAAAAAATAAATAAAATAAAAGTAATGTGCAGTTACAAAATAACGTAAGCAATTTTGCATGTTTTTCACTGGCACTCGATGAGAGTTGTGATGTCAAAGACACAGCCCAGTTGATAATTTTTATTCGAGGTATCACCAAACATTTTGAGCTCACAGAAGAATTGGCAGCATTGCAGTCAATGAAAGATATGACAACTGGAGAAGACTTTTTGGAGGCAATAAATAAGTGTATCTTAAAATTAAGAGTGAAGTGGAAAAAATTGGTAAATATGACCACCGATGGAAGCCCAAATCTAACAGGCAAAAATGTTGGGTTACTGAAAAGAATTCAAGATCAAGTCAAAGAAACAAACCCAGAACAGAATATTGTTTTTCTACACTGCATTATTCACCAAGAGGTCCTCTGTAAACAGAGTGTTCTAAAACTAAGCAATGTCTTGGACACAGTTATGAGGTGGTCAACCACATTCGAGCAAAGAGGATTAAACCACAGGCAATTGTAACTCTGTTTAAGGAATTGGAATCCGAGCACACGGATGTTCTGTATCATATCACACACATGTAAGACGGCTTAGTTTAGGAAAGGTCTTGAAAAGAGTGTGGAAACTGAGAACAGAGATTGATTGATTTTTGGACATGAAACAAAAAGATTCGGATTTCCCATAGCTGAATGATGTGAATTGGCTCTGATTTCGTATTTGCCATTGATATCATGGGCCACATGAATGAACTGAATTCAAAACTGCAACAGGAGGGAGCCTTTGTGCACGATTTGTATTGCAGTGTCAAGTAATTTATATTGAAATAATTTTATCGCGTCAGATAGGAAACAGGCTGTTTGACCACTTTCCAGCAGATTACTTTTGCGATCAAAGCCTTAAAAAGTATACTTCGTCACTACTTGACTTACATGCCGAATTTTCTCGCCGATTCCAGGATTTCAATTTGATCGAAAATGACCTGTCTTTGGTCTTCATCTTTCTCGTTTGATGTTGAGAAAGCCCCATTTCACCTCCAATTTGTGCTTACTGACCTGCAATGTGATCCATTGCTTGCGGAGCAATTCAAATCAGTGCCGCTTCCCAGTTTTTACGCCTCTCTGAATGAATATACCTTTCTAAAAATAAAGGCTTGTGTCCAGAGGATGCTTGTGCTGTTTGGATCAACATACATATGCGAGGAGACATTTTCTGTGATGAAATGTAATAAATCAAAACATAGATCTGTGATGACTGATGACCACCTTGCAGCAGTACTCCGCATTGCAACAACAGAGACGATACCTGACTTCAATTGTCTAGTTAACGCACATCAGCGCTTTCATTCTTCCCATTGATTGAGCTTCTCACATTCTCATCAATATGTGAATAAATGAATAAATATCGAATAAATGTCTGCTGATGAGTTGTCTTTATTTAACCTAATTTTAATGAATGTCAATTATATAGACTACTTTATACATGTACGAGTGTAAGACTTGATTTTGAGCTATTATTAAGCATTTGCATCAAGATTAAGTGTGTTGTCTGTGAAGCTTACTAAAACTCGTGAAGTGGCCTGCCAGCCAAAATGATTGCCCACCTCTGAGCTAGACAGTACAATCTCAAAGGGGGCAAATGAAGAGAGAGACTTGAGGGTCCACATAAGCAAATCTCTGAAGGTGGCAGGACAGGTAGATAAAGCTGTTAAAAAAGCCTACGGGATACTAGGTTTTATAAATAGGGGCATAGAATTCAAAAGTCAGGAGGTTATGTTGAATATTTATAAAATGCTGGTATGGCCTCAGTTGGAGTACTGCATTTAGTTCTGGGCATCGCACTTTAGGAAAGATGTTAGGGCATTGGAAAGGGTGCAAAGGAGGTTTACCAGGATGGTACCAGGCATGAAGGACCTTAGTTATGAGGAGAGGTTAGCGAAACTAGGATTATTCTCCCTGGAACACAGAAGATTAAGAAGGGATTTAATACAGGTTTTCAAGATCATGAGAGGTTTGATAGGTTGAACCAGGAAAACCTGTTTCCACTGGCACGTGGGTCAGAAACCTGAGGACACCGATTTAAGTTAGTCGTTAAAAGAAACAGGGAAGGTTAGGAAAAAGTTTTTCACCCAGCGAATTGTTCGGATCTGGAATGCATTACCTGAAAGTGTAGTGGAAGCCGATTCAATAACAACTTTTAAGAGAGAAGTAGATGGGTATTTGGGGAGGACAGGATTGCAGGGCTATGGAGAGAAAGTGGGCCAGTGGGATTGAGTTGGATTGCTCTTTTTGGAGCTGGTGCAGACACGATGGGCCGAATGGCCTCTTTCTGTGCTGTATGATTCTATGATTGTATGAAAACAAAAACAACCATAGGTTTGACATGTACAATAACCCCCCCATACATAAACTTATTTATCTTAACTAATTACTCATTGATCCAGATGAAAAATTGCACTGATTTCTGCAGTACTAATACTTCTCTGAACAGTCTGATCACGAGATCCCCAACCACATTTAAAAAAAAGTTAATCCATTTGTTTTGATCCACCATATATGATTGAACCCACGTCAAACACTAGGACACAGCAAAGATGGCTGAGCTAGAATGACATAATTATCTGTACTAATGAGACGAAATGTCCGTCGGTCTGTCCGTCCGTCTGTATGTCAGCCAATAACGCAAACCTGATTGAAGTAGAGACATGATTTATATCTCATCGGAAAGGTCTTGCATTGGGGAGTGTCATTGGCATTTTTTTTTGGTGGGGATCTCTGATCGTTGATGAGCTATGACCTAAAAGCTCATCACACCTATATGGCAGTTTTGCTTTAGGTATAGACACAGTGTTTTGACATGTTAAATGGGTACAGCTAGTTACAATAATTAAAGACTGCTATACATACAAATCCATTTACATTGAAATTATTCAAAAGTGTTTGCCTTAAATGTATCCACTTAAACCAAACTACTCTTGATCATCATTAAAACTGTTGCATTCCATTTAACAAATGCCTGCTGTTTTATATTTACTTTTGGGACATTTATTTTCTGTTTTCCTCTTGGGCTCTTTGTGCAAAGCCCTATTTATTAGCCTTTCCAGCCTTTCGGTGCACTGCCCTGCATTTGTTTTATTCCTTTGTGTTTCATATATTGCAAGATGCCCTTGTTGAAGAAGTTAAACTAAATATGGATATGTATAACTAAATATTACTCTTGGATCCTGGTGTACCAAGGCAAAAACCATACTGAATCAAGTGACAGGATATTTCTTCCCACCTTTTATTGCCAATTCCATTTCCATTCGAAGAGATTTCAGGAGACAGGCACGCTGAGAATAAACAACATCAACAACAAAATTACATTTGTAAAGTGCTTTTAACGTCGGGAGGACGTCCCAAGGCGCTGAACATTTCAATAAAATGATTGAAGTGAGTGTGGCAACAGAAGTTTGTAAAAGATGTATTTTTAACTTCTTATAAACATTCTCCCTAAATTGAAGTGAAATCCTTCTCTGAAAAATGCAATATTTTAAAATCTTTTGTTTCATATCACTTTTATAAAATGGAAACTTATAATGTGAACATGACATTTCTCTGTGGTTCTTGAAAACCACTTATCTATGATTGTGCAGTGTTGATGTCCAAACCCCTTTGATTCCTTCTTTGAACATTGCCGTTCTCCATCAGCTGAGTGCGCAATTGGCTGCCGCGTTTCGCTCACAAAATATACAGTAATTTCCCTTTACAGTATATTCTGTGAAGCGCTTTGAGATGTCTCAAAGACATCTCAATCTATATCAAATGCAAGGATTATTATTAGCATTATAATTAGAATTCCTTACTAAAAGTACCCAAAGATATTTTATGCAGGTAAATTGAATTCATTTTTGATCATTTTTAGTTTTTAATGAGAGAACCTGTTTTACTCTTCTCTGTATAGATTTCAATTGTACTTCTAGGATATATATTGAACATCGGGAACTTAGATATTTTGGAGTTACCTTAAGGATGGTACATTTTGAAAATCTGTACACACAGTATAATGTCATTAGAGTATTGCAAAGTTGAAATTTCATTGCAAGTTTATGGACCACAAAGGAACTGTTTATTGATAATGGTGAGTCTTTATCTGTTGCTCTGGCCATGAACCAGGTGGAATGTCAACTCATAACATGTTTCGCCCACAAATATACAGTCAATTCACTTTACAGTATATTCTGTGAAGCTCTTTGAGATGTCTAGAAGACATGAAAAGCGCTATATCAAACGCAAGGATTATTATTATACTTGTACAGCTCATCTTACCTGGTACAACAATAGCATTGCCTCAATAATAGACCCATTGCTTGTGAGTTGATTTGGTGTGTGTGTGTGTGTGTGAGTTTGGGAAAGGGGAGGGGGGTTTGGGGGGAGGAGAATGAATATTTGTGGATCTGAGGAGCACAAATATAGGTTACAAAATAAAAGTGAACTGCTTTCTTTGTGTTACTTGAGTATTAAGATAACTGAATACTGTTGGTTGCAGGTGGAGGAACAAGCAGACTGTAAGATCATGAATGGACACTTCATATCACCAATGGATCATTACTTGCCAGGCATCATGCCATCTGAAACTGTCACAGCTAGGTAAGAAATTACCAGCATAACAGGATTGTGGCATAATTTTCACGATATTAAGAATGTAAAAGTAAAGGATTCAAGAAGAAGTAACTTCCTGTTGGATCTTTCTGGATGGAAGTCTGATAGATATGCCAGTTGTGCAAAGTTTTGGAAAGTTCGTAAATAGATTTTAGTAATATAGTTTGCCATCTCACATTATATAACTGAGTTTCCATTCACAAGGTACCATGATTGCGAGAATATAAATGTGTACAAACTGAGTCAAATCCTTTTACAACACCCGAATTCTGCTTAATTTTTTTCTTTGCTTTTTTTTCTCCTTACACTCTGAGCTGGAACAGGAATTACAACAAAGCTGCTCTTCTTGGTGCCACCAATGTGTTGTGCCACTTCTCGTGACCTTTTTAGGTCACTTCTAACTTCTAACCAAGATCTTTATGGAGAATGTGGCTCGTTAATATACTGTGCACCTTTATTACCTTTACTCAAAGTCCTAAATGCTTAATGAAAAGGAAATCCAAACAGTTAGCTGCCATTGTTATCCCAGAGGAAAACTCCATCAAGAGACTTAATATACTCCATAATATTCTGTCTCTGCTATTGAAACCCACCGTCCACATACAACATTCTCTTCTCTCCAGCAGCGCATAAATCCAGTCAATTGTTCCTAGACAATAGCACCAGGCACCAGTCATTTAGATTGTGCCTTGTTTAGTGCTTGCGAGTCAATTATCGTCTTGGAGCAAATACCTGCAAAACAATCTAATGTTGAAGCTAAGTCCTGATAAGCTTTTCTTTAGGAATTATTGTTTTCACTTTAAAAGAATACAGTATGACCAAACTTCCAGTTTTTAGCTTCTGTAAACCTTCATTTGTAGCTTTAAATTTGCATGTGGTCTCATGACCAGCCTCGATCAATAAGTAGTGAGGTGGAAATTCATAGGAATTCCCACGCAAAATTGTTTTTACACACCTCATCAAATCATGGGTCAAGGGCATGAGATGGTTTTATCAATTTCCAGCCGCCATATTCACGCCATTCCAATGATAATGCCTTGAGCATTATCTTCTCCTTGATATCTAATCACGGTCTCTCTCTCTCACTCACACTCACTCTTTCACACTCACTCACTCACTCTCTAACTCTCTCACTCACTCACTCACTCACTCACCCTCTCTCTCACACATTCTCTAACTCACACACTTACACACTCTCACACTCAAGGTCTCACATTCTCACAGATTCTCTTGTCTCTTATATCAATAAGACCTGGGTTCAATTCCAGGCAGGGCGAAACCTTGGGCAAGTTTCCTTACTCCACGCGCCTGATAATAATCCCTCCCCCGAAAAATATAATAAGTTGGTCATTTTCAATCCACAACTGTTTGTGGGACACTGCTGTGCGCAATTGACCACAAATATACCGTCACTACACTTAATGGCATATTCTGTGAAGCTCTTTGAGACGTCTAGAAGACGTGAAAGGCGCTATATCAAATGCAAGGATTATTATTATTAATACTGTAACAATTTTAATCATAGAATCATACAGCTCAGAAGGAGGCCATCATGCCTGTGCCAGCTCTTTGAAAGAGCTATCCAATTAGTCCCACTTCCCCACTCTTACCCCATAGCCTTGACATTTTTTTTATGTGGAATTCTTCTGTGAACGTTTTACTTTTTTGCTTTTATTATTTTTGTAAAATGTATTTTGACACTATAATGCAAGCACAACTGTGTGCTGCAGTGCGTGAACTGTAATTTCATGCAAACAAATGTATTAAGCTATCAGAAGGTAGCAACAACTTGCAACCTTTTTTTTACTAATTTGGATCATAGATAATGGGTAAATGAGAGACTATTGTTCAGTAACTCAAAATGCAGCATTTCTGTGAAAGTGCTCCCTTGTGGACTAACCCTTTCCAAGCTCTGCACAATCTGTCGATTCCAAGATGATAACACGATGGCACTCGCCAAAGAAAAAAAACATTCATTACTCAGAATTTGTATACATGTATATTTTTATAGATAAACAATTGTGTGTTAGTGACCCTGTACGTGAAGGGGATGGGCGTCAGAGGAAAAATAAAATTAAATTATCTCAGAGATGTAGGATAAGCCATTTTAGAAATTCTGAGGTCTGATTTAGCCAAATCGGGTTTAATATTTCATATTGTATGGAAAACTCAGTTGAGTAAAACTATTTAAAATTAATTGTAATATGAAATTTAGTAATTACTATAATTTTAAAATGAAATAATATATAGATTTTAAATTCCATTCAATATTGAATATTGCAGTGTGCTTAGGGTTATTGACCAGCGTTCTGAAGACATACGACCTTGCTTTCAGTCAATAATCTATTTGCAGTAGAATTATCCATTGTGTTTATTTACCCTGTGAACAGATTCTTGTGCAGCCGCTGACATTATCACTATTCATGGCTGCACTCTTCACCTCACTGAGCCAATCCGAAACCTCGGTGTCCTTTTCGACTCAGCTATCCTTCAAACCCCACATTCATGCTGTGACCCTTTCTGCCTTTCCACACCTAGGCAATATTGCTCGCCTCTTCGACTGCCTCTCACCGCAGGCCGCCGAGACCCTGATCTGTGCTTTAATTACATCTTGGTCTGATGATGTCAATTACCTGCTTTCTGGATTTCCCAACGCTTCTCTCCACAAGCTGCAGATTATGCAGAACTTTGCAGCTCGTGTCCTCTCCCACACCAGGCTCTGGGAACCTCATTCTTGCCCGGCTTCACTGGCTCCCCATTTCTCAGAGAATCAAGTACATAACCCTCGTTCTTACCTTCAAGGCTGTACACTGTCTTGTTCCCCCTTACTTCTCCGACCTCATAATCCCGTATCAGTCTGTCCGCTCCCTCGGTTTGGCGGACACCAGCTTGCTTCAGGTCCCCTGCACTTCCCACCCCACTATTGGCGGTCGGGCATTCAGCATCTCTGCCCCCACATTGGAACTCTATCCTGCAATCCCTTTGCCTCACCCCTTCTCTTGCCTCCTTCAAGTCCCGAACAAAGATCTTTCTCTACAACCGTGCCTTCGGGCACCTTCCCACTCCCACCCCCTTGCACTCCATCCGTCCTGAGCCCAAATCCCAGATCGGGTCCAAAAAACCCTGACTGTCCATTGCCCTGGGTCATCTTTCCGACATGAAGGGCGCACAAGTGTAATTTGTTGTTGTTGTAAATAGTATGGTAGTTTTTTGAGATGTTAATTATATGTCAGATATATCTTTCAGTTTGGGATTTGTGGTTATCGCATCTTTGTACAATTACCCATGTCAAGTTATTCACACTGCCATTGCTGTAGGTTTCAGTTTATAATTCCCAAAGAATGGAAGAGCAAATACAGACCTGTATGTGTTCATCTGGCTGGAACTGGAGACCATGTAAGTGCCGAGAGAGTAATGGTATGGTGATTGGTGTAAATCCTCTGTGAGTAATCCATATAAATTAGCGTGATGTATAATTTCTCAATCCACAGATATCTCTTTAAAGTTAATTATTGATGTGAAGGGGATTCTATCTCTGTGAAGATAAAAGTGCGTAATTTGTTAATAAATTAATCATTTACATCTCGAGAATGTGAGTGGCTGATTTTGAGTTTGTATTTACAATTCTTGCTGATTATGAGTATTTCTGTATATAACGTGGGATTTGATTGTGTGTTATCAGAGTGAGCAATACTAAGCTAATATGGCCAAATATAGTGGTTCATTTGATATCTAGTATATTAAATACGCATGCTTGTGAGAGTCTCAGATCTTCCACTCAGTCCTAATTTTCACAGACTAAAGTGGGGGTGAAATTTGTGAATAGGGCTTGCAGCTGTGGATCTCTGGATGGCAGGCCTCAACATCTGGTTAGCAGGAGTCCAACACTTTTGTAAACAAAAAAGAAATCTGACTGAGCAGGAGTTAAAGGGCATCTTGATCCAGTACGGTGGGCTTATCTTCACCAACTTCGCCATTGAGAACAGCATCTTGGGGAGGAGGGGCTCAACTCACACACCCAGGTTCAATTGATGTGATAAATATTGAAAGCACCGCCAAACTGACCCTATTGTAACTTTTAATTGAGAGATATGAATGAAAAGTACTATTTAATCAGGCTTATTCCAACAGGTAACTGGAATGTAACACTCAACCCATGAGATCTGATAACAAGAGTAGATAAATGGAATAGATTCTGCTTTGTGGCTATCCGTGGAGTATTCCATTTCTACTGCAAATTGTAATGCAATATATGTGTCTTTCAATCATGATTTGGCATGTTTCAATCCTGTTCATTGTCATGGACAGTAGGTTCCCCTCTTTAGAGATGTTTGACCCTCAAGTATTAATTTCCTTCATGGATTCAGCAGTTAGGTACCAAACACACAATAGTTTTATGGCTGATGATGGAGGTTGTGAAGGTTTTTGCATTTTGACTGAATGGCCATTCAAAACAAGTTCCATCTAGGAGTGTTCATTGTGGCAACAATAAACAGGAACTGAACTACATTGCCCAATCAGTTGAGTCCCCAAGGAGTCATGATAAGCACTAGTTAGTTAGCCCACACCAGGAGTCCTGCAAACCATTATGATTGTCATGCCAAATGGTGGCAGATGGCATTGGAAGCAGTGAATAGAAAAACAACAAAGCCAGGGTATCTGGAATGCGCAGAAACCGTGCTTAGGAATTTCCAAACTGAACAACTGGGCTCCACATATGTTTGGTTTCTGTTTGCCTAGTATAGAGTATGAATTCTCTTTCTCCCCCTTCTCCCTCTGGCCTACCTAATCCCATAGATTTTAGGTGCAATCTGGAATTTAAGAGTGTGTGCTTTGTACTTCTTTTGGAGTTGAACTAGTTAAAACTGGGCAAACATTCTGCTGCTTGTCCAGCCAGGACCACCCTATCCAAATGGACTTTGGGTTGCAGGGTTAGCAGAAGCTGAGTGGGAAGAATTGCAACCTCCTCGTGATTGATCTGTTCCTTCAAATTCTGCTAACCTGGCTGACCATCAACAGTCTTCTGGAGTACTGCAATACACAATACAAATTCATATTTATGTAGCACCTTTCATGTCAGGAGGATGTCCCAAGGCGCTGTCTGACCAGACAACCTATATAAAACTGGTTAGGCCTCAGTTAGAATACTGCACCCAGTTCTGGGCACCACACTATAGGAAGGATGCTAAGGCATTGGAAAGGGTGCAGAGGAGATTTATGAGGATGGTATCAGGAATGAGATGAGGAAAGGCTAGTGAGGCTAGGATTATTCTCATTGCAGCAGAGAAGGTTACGAGGAGACCTAATAAAGAGGTCTTCAAAATCATGAGGGGATTTGATACGTTAGAAAGGGAAAAACTGTTTCCACTGTGTGTCGGTGACTCGAGGTCACAGATTTAAAATAGTATCTAAAAGAAGCAGAGGGGAGGTGAGAAGAAATTTCTTCAACCAGCAAGTTGTTTGAATCTGGGATGCATTGCCTGAAAGGGTGGTCGAGGCCGATTTGATAACAACTTTTAAAAATGCGGTGGACAGGTATTTGAGGAGGACTGGTCTGTGGGTTATGGGGAAAGGGCTGGGGAGTGGGATTGACGTTACATTGCTCTTTTCAAAGAGCCGGCACAGACTCGATGGACCGAATGGCCTCTTTTTGTGCTGTACGATTCTATGATTCTATGAACCTTCCTGGCTCAGGAACTGGACTACCAAATAAGGTTCACTAAATTTCTGCTATTCCGTTACCAGTAGTGTCATCTTTGATCCAACTCATCCCAAAGAGAACCTGTTTACTTCCTCCAACCCTCACTCCCCCCACCCAGCAGATAGTCACTAGTTCATCATTACACATCTGACAAGCAGTTTTGAGCTCTTAAGGATGGATGCAAGCCATATGGTGAGCAGCATAACATATGTGATAACAATACAGCATAACAATACTCCTGCTCACAGCGCAGACACAGATCCTTCTACTCTTTGAGTCATATCCGCTACTTGAAGGTGCATAGCCTCAGCAGCAGCTGAATTCTTGAGTCCTTAATTAAAGATGTCATTATGGGATTCCTGGAAGACCATAACAAGATTAGGCAGAGTCAATATGGCTTTACAAAAGGGAAGTCATGCTTAACTAATCTTTTAGAGTTTTTTGAAGATGTATCTAGCAGGTGAGATAGGGGGGAACCAGTAGATGTAGTATATTTAGATTTTAAAAAGGCATTTGACAAAGTGCCACACAAAAGGCTATTGCACAAGGTTAAGGCCCACGGGATTAATGGGAACATATGAGCATGGATTGAAGAGTGGCTAACGGGTAGAAAACAGAGAGTAGGGATAAACAGGTCATTCCCAAATTGGCAGGATGTGACTAGTGGAGTGCCACAAGGATCAGTGCTTGGGCCTCAGCTATTTACAATTTACATCAATGATCTAGACGAGGACATTGAATGTAACGTATCTAAATTTGCAGATGACACTAAACTAGGTGGGAGAGCAAGCTCTGAGGATGATGCAAAAAGATTGCAATGGGATATAAATAGGCTCGGGGAGTGGGCAAGTAGGCGGCAGATGGAATTTAATGTGGGGAAGTGTGAAGTTATTCACCTAGGTAGAAAAAACAGAAAAGCAGATTATTTTCTAGAGGGGGAGAGATTAGATAGTGTTAGTGTGCAGAGGGATTTGGGTGTCCTTGTACACCAGTCTCAAAAATTTAGTTTGCAGGTGCAACAAGCAACTAAGAAGGCGAACGGCATGTTAGCGTTCATTGCAAAAAGTTTAGAGTACAAGAATAGGGAAGTCTTGCTGCAACTGTATAGGGCCTTGGTGAGACCGCACCTAGAGTATTGTGTGCAGTTTTGGTCTCCTTATTTAAAAAAGTTGCTAAATGGAGTGGAGAACACAATTACAGAATAGTCTTTTGAAATATGCCAATTGAATTTGACAAGAAGGCACAGGCTTAAAGTTATCAAAGGCAATTTAGGAATTATTTCTTTACACTGACATTAATTAACAGAATGAGTTACCAGGAAGGCTAGTTGATTTGCACTTGATGGAGTAATGGGAAGATGGTAGGGTGGGTTTTCTGGAAGAAGGAGATTAAATTATGTTCATTGCTGCATTTATCATCAGCTGTATTTCAGTGGGTGGCAAGAAAGGGAAGCTAAAATTAGTTCAGTTGTTACGAAATAAGAAAAATTTATGTACAAAAAGTAATCTTGCTTGTATTTGAATATGTACAAAAATAACCTGAAAAAGACTTGCAGTTTCTGAGTTTCAAAATTTTTGCTGTGTCAAATTAAAATTGTTCAAAGATTCCCACATTTCCCACAAGCATTTAAAACATGTTTTGTCCCCCAAATTATTCTTAGTTTTACTGGCGAAGGCGCACATTGATGGCCCGTCCAATGATAAAAGAAGCCGGCATTGGATCCCTTCTGCTGGAAAATCCTTACTATATCCTTTGAATGTTTAGTTCAATCTGTACAGAGCGCTGCACTTTGTATTCATTAAAGCTGAATCCTGCTAAGTTAAGAGACGGCGTAGAGGAGCTATGTATAGATAGACCTTATGGAATTGCTTGAGTGATTACTTTCTTTTCCAGGAACAGGATTTGATTTTAGCAAAGATGAATCTACACTGAATGCATCAGCCTAGCTTTGTCATTAGCATGCTCCTCCAAGTCAGAAGGTTGTAGGTTGAAGCTGCACATCAATGCAGTGCTGGGGGTGTGCTGCATTGTTGGAGGCATCGTCCTTCAGATGAGTCATTAACCCGAGGTCTCGTCTGCCTATCTATGTGGACTTTAAGATCCCATGACACTATTTGAACAGAGAAGGGAGTTTCTCCCGGTGTCCTGGCCAACAATCCCTCAAATAAAATTGGTCACTCACTCCATGGCTGTTTGTGGGACATTACTGGGTGCAAATCAGCTGCCGGGCTCACCCACAAAATGCACACTTTACAGTATTTCCAGTGAGGCACTTTTAGGCGTATCAATGACACGATAAGGTGCTATATCAAATACAAGAATGATTATCAGGACATAAGATGGCTCAGCTGTTTGCAGTTGTGATGATTGTTTCTGACAGTATTGATGGAAGGGTCAAGGACTTTGATTTTCAAACTTCTCTTTTAAAAAGAAAAGGTGAGGCAATGTCTGGATGTAAAATGGGTTTCAACAACAACAACAACAAACGTACATTTATAGAGCACCTTTCACGTCGGGAGGACGTCCCAAGGAGCTGGACAGTCAGGGATCAGGACCCGAGCATGGGGGAGGGGTGGGGTAGGGGTGAGGGAAGGCAGAGAGGTGGGAGGCGACTGAAAGCATGATCGAAGATGGGTCCTTGAAGGAGGCAAGGGAGGAAGTGAGGTGAAGGGACTGTGGGATGGAGTTCCAGAGTGTGGGAGCACAGAGGCTGAAAGCCTTGGGACCGATGGTAGGGCTTGACATCCGCAAACTACACAGAACAGTGCCATTAAAATTTCAAGGATAATTTACAGCTAAAGGTTTTATTAGGATAAAGCTCTATATTAAATGCAAGGATTATTATTGCATTATGATTTCACTCCACATCAAGTAATTGCCTGACCTGGTGGCTCTAACTAGAAAGGGTTTGATGTCCAAGCACTACTACTTCCCAACATTAACATCCATCCCTGAAATAAATAATTGTTCCAATGGTAAATGCTGGTCATCGTAATGGAAACTTTTATTGCAAGGAACCTCTTCTAGCTCACTATTGTAGAATGAGCGGAATTAACAAACTCTTCTGTAAGCACCTCAAGTTTATCATTGTGTGAATAAATCTTTACGTTCTCAGATTAGTTCTCAGACTTGACCACAAAGCCTTGGGACGTCTTCCCAATGTGAAAGGTGCTCTATAAATATAATTTTGTTGTTGTTGATTCTTTGATGCCAGTGACACAGCTGACATTGTAATATTCAAGAAATTCAGCAGATAAGGCAAATTAGAGCAAAGGTTTCTCAATTCTGCTCATTCCAATAGGCCAGGAATAGTTTGTATTGTTGTGAACGTATTTTTATAATAGTTTTATAATAATAAAACGCATTTGGTAGAGCACTTTTTACATCAGGACAACGTCCCAAAGCCTTTTGTGGGATGTACTGTAAATTTGGGTGACTGTATGTTTTGTGGGAGAATGCGGCAGCCAATTTACAGACAGCATTGTCCCACAGTCATGGAGTGAATGACCAATTTTATTTGGGAGATTGTTGGTCAGGCGCTGGGAGTCCCTAGAGAGTGTCTAGAGAGTGTTTATCTTCTTCACTTAGTTTTCTATCCTCGTGAGTTCCCCTGACTACGTGCCTCTGGCGCAGAAGTTGAATAGATGGTTTGCTTCCTCTTTCAAAACCACTGCTTATGATTTTAGGCAGCCACCAGGAAGGGTGAAGTCTCTCCTTTGCTCCAGGCTCTCCTCTGCTCTGGCCCTCATTTCAGGGAGTGTGGCAGAGATCAGCAACTTGGCAAAATGGGGAAGCCTGTTGGTTGTGTTGCGAGCAGCATCACTGAGTACCTCTGGACATTTCGCATTTTATTATCTGAGCATGCAAGGTATCTTGAGTAAAATGTCCGCAGAGACGAAACTTCCTCAGTAACACTGTGAAAAAGAAACCTCTACATTACAATCTTAGAGAACCATAGAAACCAAACAGATTTCAGCACAGAAGAAGGCCATTCAGCCCATTGAGTCAGTGGTAGCTCTTTTAAGAGCAAATCTTTCACTCCCATTTATCTACCCTTTCCTCATATCTCTGTAGTTTACTTCTTAGATACTTGTCTAGTTCCCTTTTGAAAGCTGATATGGATTTTGCCTCAACAACCGCTTCCCAGCAGGGCATTCAATATCCTAACTACTTTGTGCTTGTTTGCTATCTATCTTAAATTGGTGTCCTCTGGTCACTGCCTCACTGACCAGTGGAAATAATTTCTTCCCATTGACTATCAAACCCTTTGTATTTAACCCTTAACCTTTGTTCCAACAGAAAAAGCTCCATTTCCTCCAGTCTCTGTTCATAGCGCAAACCACTCCTTCTCGGTGTCATCCTAGTAAATATCCTCTGCACCCCATGTGTCACCTTGATGTCTTTTCTAAAATGGGGAGACCAAAACTGGATTCAATATTCTAAGTGTGGTTCAATTTTAATATTCTAACTATTATTGAGGTCTTTCTTTGGAATAGGATGGGAGCCATTATAGTTGTTTGATCAGAAGAGAATTTCCAACTTTGAGGCTTGCCAGTATTCCATATTTGTGGTCTAGATCAGCAGCATAAGTTTATTTCTTTGTAATAACACAATGACTTAAAAATACTGATGGTATAAGCTCTTATTTAACGTGTTGTAATTTACTAATAGGATATCAGTTGTACACAAAAGTACATTATTTACCACACTGTTTCCCTTAATAACACCATCACATGGCTGCAGGAAACCTAAAGATCAAAAGTAAGTATTTTATAACCAAGCTTGTTCCATATTTAATTCCTTTCTCAATATCAGTAAAAAATGTGTTTTGTTTAATGTAGTTCACAATTTTATGTAACAAATTACGTAATTTGAAATGTTTCGATTGGAACTCCAAATCAAAACCTTAATTAAAATAAATCCACACTGTGTATATAAAGGGGGCATTTGTCATAACCTCTACTGCTAAATCTAAATCCATCTGAGGAATTCAACATTGGCTTTAAAGTAACACTGCCCTCTCTCAGTGGACTAAATCAACTGTCACTGAAAATTGTCTAAATATACCTGGATCGAAATGTTCCAATCTTAATTAAAAGTTTCTTCAATTATGTATTTTGAAATCTGCAATCGCAATAGAGGTTTAGTATTAGTACCAAGCTTATAGGTATAGAAAAATAATTCTGTGCGAGTATCCTGAAAGGAACAGCGGGTGAATGTTTGGGACTCTGACACTATGCAAACTCGACTTACATAGAAATTTCCATGATCTTTGCCAGCGGAAAAAGTATCTAATTGACAATCTGACAATTTACTATAAATTTGCATATTATATTTTTTAGTTTAAAACTGTTTTTATTGAATGCCAAAGTGTGCTTTTTCAGATATTATGGGATAGGCTCAGTAACTACATTTCGATCTCATTGCAGTCTGGCTCTGTTTATACACAATAGTATCATAGTTACTCAGACACTAACCGTGTGAGGGGCACTATATAAATTCAAGTTGTTGTTAGTATAATTTTACAATGATTTGCACTACTGGTGCAAAAAACATGTTAAATAAGGCTATTCTGAGCTTGGTTTGGTTTCTCAAGCTTGGGGTAAACAACAACAGCTTGCATTTATATATTATCTTTCATGGAGCATAATGTCTTGAAGCCTTTACAGTTTAAGCTGAGACACCACACTGAATAAAGAGCACTGTATAAATGTAAGTTGTTGTTGATGATGGGTTTGGACTGGATTTTTGTTTTTTTAGGAATTTCACTAATTTTATCAACCTCAAAAACGTTAAGAGCTGGGTCTACCTTATGGGGTTTGATTGGACCCGAAACTTCCAATTTAACACTGGTCTGTTATTATTGTGTGTTGGTGTCTGCAAATGGTGGCACTGAATTTAATAGTAGTACTTTCAGCAACCACATTTTTGGAGCCAAGGCCAACCTTGCATTACATTGGAGGGTGTGTGTGTGCGGGGATACATTAAATAGTAGGCGAGAAATGGCCTTAGGTTTGTAATCTTCAGAGATAAAATATTCAACATGCCCAAATCAATAGTTAGCACGCATCTCAAATGCTATACTGTATTTGGGAATGATTTAAATTGTTTACCAATAACACAAATAATGACTGGTTATGTTAATACTGTTAATACATCTCTCACTCTGCTTCTTACAGCAGAATAGTGAACCTTGGCTGTTTTTCTCTCGTACATATCAGAGCCACTAACAATAAATTCAAGTTTTGCCCATAAAATATACAGTCACTATACTTTACTGTATATTCTGTAAAACACTTAGAGATGTCTCAAAGGCGTGATAAGGCGCTATATCAAATACAAGGATTATTATTTGTAGTACGTTACCTAAAAACAGCTAAGCCCAGAAACGTCTTTGTCTGTATGGCTCAGTTTTACACTTGGCACTTAATCACTATTAAATCAATTGAGTTATTAGGCAAGTTGCCCTAATGAGAACCTATCGAATTAAACTGTTAGAACTTTTAGATGGGATTCCTTGGACCATTAAGAGAGTAAACATTGGATTATAATAGTACAAATGATCAGATTACAGAATTGTTTTGTTTGTATTCTGTTTAATTGATATCCTTTAGCAATTATTCTAAAAACGAATTAACTGTTTTTAAATCCCACACAATGGAAAGGCATTCCTTTCTGAACCACGTCATATGCAAACTTAACTTTAGTTGAAAGCAATATGTTATTTTGTTTTACTGATGGATTAGCAGGTTTTAAATTCCCATAGTGTGTCACAGATTATTAATTATCGGAAAGGTGTATGCATAAGTGATTTATGTGTGAACTTGTGTACCTTTTAGAAATGGTCAAGGCTGTGTGGAATTTTTATTTGTGGAAGATGTACAGATTCAATAAGTTATGATAATAATAATCCCTGCATTTGATATGGTCCCTTTGTTGAACGTCTCAAAGCTCTTCACATGATATATACTAAATATGTATTTTGTGGGTGAACATGGCAGCCAATTTATGCACAGCAGTGTCCCACAAACAGCCATGGAATAAGTGACCAATTTTATTTGGGAGATTGTTGGCAAGGCCACTGGGATAAACTCCTTTCTTTTTTGAATAGTGCCATGGGATCTTTGACACTCATCTGGGCAGGCAGATGAGACCTGTTTAGCGTCTCATTCGAAGGACAGCCTCTCCAACATTGGAGCACACCCCAAAGCATTCTATTGGAGTGTGAAATGAGACTATATAAATTCCATGTCCTGATGTGCAGCTTGAACCCACAACCTTCTGACTCAGAACCAAGAGTCTTGTCCTATAAGCAAGGATATTAGAGAGCCTGAGCGAGGTTGACACACAAATTATTGTACAAGTACTCTTCAATTGTGATATCCTACGTTTTACCATTGTAAGACAGACACAATGTTGCATTGCTGTGTCATCCCCTCCCTGCTCAGTATTCAAGCCTGACCCTTTGAAGCACTCTGAGGTGTTAGCCTACATGAACGGCGTTATATAAATCCATGTGTTACATAGTTTTGGAAGTTTTTAAATGCCCAAATTGAAATTACTTTTCCCACATTGTAAACAAAATGGGCTAATTCATTCTGTGTGGAATTTAGGATGAAGAGACACAGTAAGACATTAACACTTTCATTTCAGAGTGTGTGTAACTAGCATATTACTATGTTTTGCTTAGGCTACAGAGAGTGCTCCCGAGATGCTATCTTATGTGAAGGGACCTGCATAAGTGCAAGTTGGCTGTGTTGTAATTAATTGACCCTTTTGCATAAATAAGGAACCAAAATCTAACGATAAAGACAAAGTGCAAGCTGTTGTTTTCAGTGGATTTAGGTGATTACATTAGCCAAAACATGGAGTCTTCAAACTGCAACTGCCCGCAAGTATTCACATCTTCATTTGGTTATTGAACAAATTTCTCTGCAATTATAGCTCAGTGAATCCTAGAACCAGAAGGTTTCACTTCACCTCTTTCAAGGGCAATTCAATTGAACACCGCCTCTAAAAATATCTTCTTGGGAAGGGGAGGTGGTTTGGGTCCTTGGTATTGCAATAGATCTAAACGCAAGGATTTGGCACAGCTATTGTCAATGATTAATCCATCTGTCTGGCTCATTAATGAGATGTGAAGGTGTCAGTGTTTCTTCATCTCTGCCATTTAAAGCCCTAATGGTTAGGGAGTTCTAGCAGGCAGCTACTAGGACTGTAAAACCTACCAGTGCATCATCCTGATCAATGGTGTGATTAATATTTTTAATTGGTCACAGATTGATTGGATTAGCATCCATCCTACAGATTACTTTTATTAGAAGAAAAAATATATTTTTAAATATTCTAATAATTGGACTAAACACTTTCTCCTGTATTTTACAGTTAATGCATTTTAAAAATAGATGTGAAGGGGAAAAGAGACTTTGTTATCAAATGTTGCACATTTCCATCTAACTTATTTCATCTTGCTTTTTGTGGCTAGGAGATCAAGTTTAAGGAATGTGTCTGATCTTTTTGTGATGGGAGGAGCTCTGGTCTTAGAGTCCGCTGCTCTTCTACATTGGCTGGAGAACGAGGGTTATGGTCCTCTAGCAATGACTGGAATATCCATGGGAGGCCACGTAAGTTTATGCATTGATACAACTGTTGAACCGTTTCATATGGCTCATATTTCAAATGATTTAAGAAAAATAAAATCTTGTAAACCATTCCCTTTAAAGTTGTTTTAAATTTTAATTGTAGAAGACCATTTTCCTTCATCTATGGTTCAGATTTATTTTACTCCCTTAATGTTTTTTGGATATTTTGTCCTCTTTAGGAGCCCTGTCCTTGTGAAATACAAATGCAACTCAGCTTGTAGGAAATATGCAGACATTCTCTCTAAAATCAAGACTCGCCATCACTCTTATTAATAATCATCCTTGCATTTGATATAGCACCTTAATACATTGTTGAGACGTCTCAAAGCACTTCACAGAATATACAGTAGAGGGACTGACTATATATTTTGTGGGTGAAACCTTCAAAAACCTTTTACCTTCAATAGCTAGGCAGAAACTAACTAGAAGCTGTTCAAACAATCTCTCACTTTTTAGTCCCTTTTCTTTTCAGAATTTCCTAATATAGCTGAGGGAGCAGATGGAAACAGTTCAATTTATTTTGTTCTGGTTGATCTTCGTCACAGCCTCGGGGGAAATCAATAGCGAGAACATTGCATCTTTAAATGGAACCTTGGCAAGTCATACTTTGTAGTGGAAAGAATAGTCTGTTTATGAAATCAAGCTCCCAACAAAACGTTTATTGGTTTAGAACAGTCTTACGTATTGCCCCACCCCTGAATTTCTTTCTTCCTTTTCTGAAGGTACTGCTCATGCTCGGGTATGTTTTGTGGGCATAATACATCTGCTGGTCTTGTTTCTGTGTCTGCCTAGACCATGAGTATTGACAGCTATTTAATGTGAAGTACTGAAGCGTAGTGGTTGGAGCACCCGCCTCGCAAGCAAAAGGACCTGGGTTCGATTCCTGGGCAGGGCGAAATGTTGGGCCAGTTTTCTTACTCCACAGGCCTCTGTTTACCTCGCATTAAGTAGAAACCGGTTGTTAGTCGATTGGCGGATCGCGTTTCTGGGGGTAATAAGCCCTTCAAAAAATAAAACAAAAATGTAAGTAATAATTTGGTCACTTAATCCACGACTGTTTGTGGGACACTGCTGTGCGCAATTGGCTGCCGCGTTTCGCCCACAGAGCATTCACATTACAGTATATACTGTGAAGGACTTTGAGACGTCTAGACGTAATAAAGCGCTATATCAAATGCAAGGATTGTATTATGGTGGGTGCATCAAGGCCAAATTCAAAACTGTCTTGACCTGACGATCAAGTGCAGTCATTTTCTAGCAGGTGTCACTAATATAATAATAATAGTAATCCTTGCGTTTGATATAGAGCCTTATCACATCTTCGAGATTGTATTTGAGAGCAGATGCTCTGTTTTTTCGTACTTTCTTACCAGTCTAGCTCAGACCACGTGTAGTATCCTTATCGCTGCCCACCAGCGAGTTTGGTAGAGACGGATCTTCTGGGTATATACGACCGTTTTTCACGAGATGGAGTTCTTTTTAATTAGTGGGAAAAATCTGCTGCCAAGTTGTGACTGTTAAACTTCATTTTTCATTTTCAGCATCTTCGTCACATCGTTTTCTCCATTTCTCACCTCCTTACTCTCTTCTGGAGTATGGTTCTACTTTTTCATATTGGGTGTGTCACAAGGTTGAGAGGTTTATGGCTGTAAATTCACCCCAAATCCTTACATACTGAGGGCTGAGAGTCCATCAGGTGTTAGTTCTTAGTGATCCAGAGTAGAAACCCTGAAGTTAGTCCTTGAAGTTGATGATTGTGGTTCGACTTTAGGGTCAGAGAGATCCAGGTTATGAGAACTGATCAGTTTTCCCTCATCAGGTACAAGCATTGGGTAGTCAGTCCATGCTAAATTGCAGCCTGGGTAATTTCACATTTCCATGAGGGTTGGGAAATTGTTATTCCTTCAGTTTATCCTTTGCATAGAATACAATAGGAAAGAGTGTACTGTGTACAGTTCTGGTCCCCGCAATACAAAAAGGATATTGGAGAAATTGAGAAGAAACAGAGGAGGGCAACCAGAATGATTGAGGGAATGGAAGGACTGGACTATGAGGAGCGACTAAGTAAATTGGGCTTGTTCACGCTGGAAAAGAGAAGATCGAGATGTGACATGATTGCTATCTTTAAGATTCTAAAGGGGCGAGTCAATATAGATCATGATTGGCTATTTCAACTTGTCCAGAATACTAAAATCAGAGGTCACAGCCTGCGATTGAATGCGGGTAAATTCAGAACAAATCTACGCAAACACTATTTTAGTGAGCAAATAGTGAACCTGTGGAACAGGCTCCCGAGGGAGATTGTTGAGGCAGGAAGTGTTGATTCTTTCAAACGCAGATTAGATTGTTTTCTTTTAGGAAATAACATAATGGGATATAGTACATATCGGGACATATGTGCATGCGACCACCAGGAAGGTGGAAGGCGAACTAGATGGACCTTGGTCTTTTTTCGTCTAGCATTTCTTATATTCTTAGGTAGGGCAGAAGACTTTTACAATCTTACACTATTGTTGTGGCGAACAGTCTTCCATATATATAATGGGTCATTTACTTCAAGGCTGTTTGTGGGCCACTGCTATGCACAAATTAGCTGTGTTTGCCCACACAGTGTACACAATCACTAAGCTTCACAGTAAAAATCCTGTAAAATGTTTTGTGATGAGCTACTATATCAAATGCAAGAATTATTTTTATGATGGGTAGCATCACCTCCAAATCTTGATAAAATAACTGTTGGAATTCATATTCTATTTTTAATCAATTAACAGGAAGCGTACCATCTTGATTCAACAACAGGACAATCCCCTCATTCTATGTCCTTAGCAGCACTGAAATAAATAGCAGTTGACACCATGTGCCCTGTTGCTATTCACAGCAACACTCGTATTTTCACAAAGCACTATTGTGTAGATTTAGCAACTGTTGGAGTTTGATGGGTCAGTTTTGGGAATTGGGATGTCAGCTTCCCTGACATGAGTGACTCTTTACTTCTTCATGTTACTTTGCTCGTATCCTATGTTACAAGATTATCTAGCTGGTATGATCCATTCTTCAAATTAAGAGGCCCTTCCCCTGGACTGGGCTTCGTCCCATCCATCTTAGCAATCGTTTAGAGAAGTTACATACGATGGGAATAAAAATTGTAAAAGACTCAGTTGCACTCTCACCTCAAAAGAATCAAACGATTGTAGGATTCAAACACCACATTGAGACTTTGAACTTATAGTTTAGGCTGACAATCTAAACAGTGTCGGGGGTATGCTGCATTGTTGGAGATGCCACCCTTCAGGTGAGATGTGAAACCACAGTCGTGTCTGCTTATTCAGATGGACCTTAAAGGAACTATGGTAGTATTCAAAACGAAAAGGGAGTTCCTCTTCATGCCTTGACAAACAATCCTCCAGATAAAATGAGACTGTTTATGGAACATTGTTGTGTGCAAATTGGCTGTCGGGTTTGCCTACAAATATATGGTCACTACACCACAGTAAATCCTGTGAAGTGCTTGGAGATGTTTCAATGACTTGATAAGGCAATATATCAAATGCAAGTTTTTTGTGTATTACAAGAGACTAGGGACCACGAGAGAGCCCAGGCATGTATAAATACACATGGGCCCATCTCAATATCGGACTGTCAAAATGTTAATCATCTAAAACGGAACCCATTCCTTTTTGTGTTGGGTGTGTGGGTGAGACTCTGAAGACCTTTTGCTTTAGACCCTCAATAATGTTCTTCTATTTGCAGATGGCATCATTAGCTGTAACTAACTGGTCCAAGCCTATACCATTGGTTCCTTGTCTGTCCTGGTCCACAGCCTCAGGAGTTTTCACTACAGTGAGTAACCATTGTTGCTTTTTAACGTTCTAGTATGTCATGACATAAGGTTTATACTCGATGAAGAGACAAGGTGCAAGATTTTATAAACTTTTCCAAAATCTGCTCTCTGCTCAGAAAGATTGATTATTTTTCATTTTTCATTTTTCATTTTTGTTTATCACACAGTGTGTCCTTGAGAATGAGAATGGAGGTTATTTCGTATGTGGGATGGATCGCTGATCGCTGTAATCTCTAGTGAAATTGTAAATCGTTGAATCATTAATTAACCATATCTTAACCTTAACATCGAGTTAATTTTGTTTAATTATCTACATTTTCTCTCTTCCCACCTATCTCTTTCCCCTCCTGAAGGTGCATGATGCCTGTTCTTTCTCCCAGAATTTAGTCCACAAGTTCAATGTGAATTAGGAGATGCAGAAAGATATTGCTTTCCTGGCTGCGATCATCCAGCTCATTGACCTATGATCTATATAGCTTAGGACGATCTTGGCCAGTGCCTTTAGCGCTAGGCTGAAAAAGTCTAAACTATGGGACATATTTTGGAGAATATGACTGTCCAGTTAATAGCACTTAGATTAAAGTGTGATTTTTGTGGTCAGTAGCTTTCCTCCACTGAGTCACAGTTCATCCTCTTTGTCTTACAGATTTTTTAAATATTGGTCCACTTGCAGAAAGATGTTCTCCTTTTCATAGTTTCAACTGGAGGATATCAAACAAATATAATCATTCAAGGAGTGCACTTGAAAACAAGGAATCAGAAAGAGAGAGAGAGGAGATAGACCTGAGGGAGTCCCAAAATTGAGACTCCAGACCTTGAAGTCTAAGCTTTGAGAAAGACTCCCTGAGTGAGGCGTAACATTACAAGAGTCTCTTTGAGGCTGAGCAAGACTCCTTGAGCCCGAACAAGTCCCAGATTTGCTTCAGCAAGTCTCAGTATTGAGGGAGATTCCCTGAGCTTTGCACTTTCCATCACTATCCCTAGGCCAGATAGCTTCTTGATGGCATCTGCTCAGAAATTCATTACTGGGAGACAGGTCGATCCACTCCAATCCTTCAAAATAATAATAGTAATGTAGTCATTCAATCCACGACTGTTTGTGGGACGCTGCTGTGCGCAATTGGCTGCTGTGTTTCGCCCACAAAATTTCGCCCACAGTCACTCCACTTTACAGTGTATTCTGTGAAGTGCTTTGAGACATCTCAAGGATGATTATTATCAGTGTTGTTAGCTAAAACGGCCATTGGGAGCGCTGTCTGGCATGCTTCCCCGCTGAGGGGGGAGGGGGAGAGAGAGAGGAAGTGAACGAGAGGGAATCAGGGGAGACAGAGAAAGGAGAGATCAAAAAATCTCTCTTCTCTTTCCTGTCTGTTAAAATCTCCCAGTTTTATACAACAACAACAACAAGATTACAGTTGTATAGCTCCTTTCATGTCGGGAGGACGTCCCAAGGCACTGGACAGAATACAGCATTCCAGACCTGAGCTGGGGTCAGGGAGGGGAGGGGAAGGGGGGTGACCGATGGCATGGTTAAAGAGGAGGGTCTTGAGGAGGGACTTGAAGGAGGCTAAGGAGGGGTCGAGGCGGAGTGACTGGGGGATGGAATTCCAGAGGTTTGGGGCAGAGCGGCTGAAGGCTCTCCCCCCAATGGGGGGGGCGGGTGGGTCGGGGGACGTGGAGGAGGCCGGAGCTGGCTGAGCGGAGGGAATGGGCAGGTTGGTAGGGGGTTAGGAGGTCGCATAGGTAGGGTGGGGCGAGGCCATGGAGAGCTTTGTAGGTGAGGACTAGGATCTTGAACTGGATCCTCTGAAGGATAGGGAGCCAATGGAGTTGGGAGAGAATGGGGGAAATGGGGTCACAGAGTTTGGTGCGGGAGAGGACACGGGCTGCAGAGTTCTGGATTATCTGCAGCCTGTGGAGGGAGGAGTTGGGAAGGCCGACAAGTAGGGAGTTTGCATAGTCGAGCCTGGAGGTGATGAAGGCATGAACAAGAGTTTCAGTGGCCTGAGGGGTGAGGTAGTGGCCGTTGTGTGTTATTTTTATTAAAAAAATTATATGAAAGAAAGTGCTCTGGGATGCTACCCCCATGTGAAGGACACTATACAAATGCAAGTTGTTGTCGTTGATTGTTTTCTGTGTAAGTACCACGCCTTCACCCAGGAACTCTCTAAGTATTCTGAGGGTCATTTGCTGCTGTTTAGGAAATTTAACAATAATAATGATAATAACTGAATTTTTTTATTGCAGTGGGTTTCCAACTCATACATGCCGGTCTAATCAATAATCTTGCTCATGAATTTGACTCCTTTATCGCTTGAAAGATTGAAAATTCAGCAGAATACGTACTAAAATGTAATCTTGTTTTCATTTAGTGCCATTTAACTATTTTCCCTTTGCCCCTGCAAATTGTTTGTTTACTTATTTGTATATATAGTTCCCTCTTGAATGCTAATATCGACCACCATAACCAACAGCATTCCACATCCTATTACCTGTGTAAAAAAGTATTCTTCTTAATGTCTCCCTCTGCTAACTTTCTTAAATTGAATTGACACTCATAATTTCTCCCTATCTACTCTATCAAAACTCCTCAACATTTTAAAGACCTCTTTTAGATTGATCCTCAACCTTCTCTGTTCCAATAAAATTGGGCCCCGTTATTCTAGTCACTATTCATAGGTCATATAGAGGTACAGAAGATAATCCTTGGATAGATTTCCTCTTCTCAATGAAGAACCTGTCTTGCAAGGGATCGTATTGTTTCTATGAGTCTGTTGCCTAGACAGTATCTGCAGTTTTCAACTATGTGAGGTTAGAAAGGAGGGGGATGTGCTATCAAAGGTAATTCATTGTTGTTGTTATTGACTACCAGTTGGGAGTCCTGCTTGACTTGGGGTAGGGGTTTAGGAACAAAATGAGGCAAATTGTGCTGCCCTGGCTGAAAATAGTTAACTGAGCCCAGACTGCGACCTTGTACTCTACGGGTTGGAATTCTATTTTTACCTTGAGCAAGTCAAATAGCTCAGAGTTGCAAAGTACTTCCTCATTAATACAGCGGAACTACTGAAATAAGTATTTTGATTGAATCTTGTTTTAAAAAAACATATTTTAATTTAGTGTTTCTGTGGTAGGAACCAAAGGTTTTCAGAAGGGGTTGCCAGCTGCTGAATTTAAAAACTAAAACTTACATGTTTCAATTAATTTTCCTTAAAGAACAGAATGTCTTGATTCACTTCTTGAATCCACTTTTTAAAAAACTTGGCATGGTGGTTTTGCAGGTGTTTGGAGCAGCAGTACATAGGGCCACAGCGCGGTGTGATTTAACAATATCTGTGCTACGGTGCATGGTGCAGAGAGATGGAAGTTTGAAAGTTCCATTTATACTCATGCACTTTATAGCATGCAGTTCAAGAAAGTGTGGGAATAGGCAGCAGTGTGCAGATGCCATTGATAAATAAACAGCACATTTACAAAGATAGTGCATATTATAGCCCCCAAAATGTTTGTTTTCTTAAACCCCTCAGGTTGTTTGAAGGCGATGGGGTGGAAAAAGTGAGCGATTCAATGGGGACATTGTATTCTTTAGGGTTGCTGACTGGCATTTTGGGGCATGGGATAAATTGAAAGGTTTGGGTTAGTCTAGTTTACAATCTTGGAAAGAATATTTTGAATGTGCTCTAAAATATTTTAGCCTTTTTATAATACCTGCAATCACTCCTTCCCCCTTCCCACTGAGTATATGATTGAGAACCATTGATACTACTGACATGGATGGATGACTGGATAACTGCGGCCGTAAATACTTAAACTACACTGTTTGCTAAAAATGTTACTTAGACTTAGCTTGTATACAAAAACCTACATTTAATAACACGGCTTATGTTGAAATGTCTCAAAGTATTGATTTGCTTTGAAGTGTAGTGACTGTCATCTGGGCAAAAGTTAAGATGTGCCAACAACTATCCCACAATCAGTAACGAGGTGAGTAGCCCATCACTGTGTTTCGGTCAACATTGGATGAAAGGGGAATATAGGCCAAAATACCTTGAAAACCCAGCTTTCTTCTTGAAAATGGTGTTGTGCATTGTTGCCATCCACCCGAATGGAGAGAAAATCTTAGTTTAGATGGAACGTTAGTTTAAAGGCTCATCTAAAGGTTAGCACTTTAAACATTCAGCTCTCCCCAAAACTGCACTGGAATGTCAGACTTGATTATGAACTACAAGATCTTATGTGGAATCTGGTTTAGTTTTATGGCAGTGAAATATATTGCAGTTCATCAACCTTATCAAAAGTTCATCAAAAGAATAAGGCCTCATTGTGTGAAGTAATAACAATAATAACCATTATAATTGAACAACTTATTTAATTTAGTAATTAAAACAATCTATTGAGCCTTAGTTTTAATCTGCTGGATCAGTACTGGCAGTACTGGCCTCCAACAATGTTTCTCAATCTTTTTGATACACGAGAGCAACTCAGTTTCTTATTAAACATGGCAGACCATTTTCTGTCTGATCACTGAACAAAAATGGTCACTGCTATAGACCAACCATGAGGTTATCGCAGATCAGTTGATGAGAAACACCCAGTTTATGTAACAGTCAAATTGGTAAACCATTAAACAGTTTTTTAAACAAAATTACATTTGAGTCTGATTGAGTATCTGGATAATTGGGACAACAGAAATAATTTGTGTTATTTAAACATCAATTTTCATACCAGGGATTTCTAATTAAAAGTGTACTATTGCACAGTAAATATGTTAATTGCCTTCAGAAATACTGTCACAAATCTTGTACCCAAAAGTGTAATTTCCTTCACACATTCCCTGGTTTCCACATTGAGGGAAGAAGAAAATCAAAAGGCTTTATAGACAAGTGATAGTCTTGCACATCTCTGAGAATTGCATTGGTAGAAACATGGGAGTATGTTATTTGCCAATTGGGGAAAGGGAATCATCCCATTCAGCTCTGTTAAACCTGTAAGCCAAAGCCCAAAGGGATAGGGTGGTCCTAGCTGGTCAAGCAGCAGGAATGCTTTCCAGACAGCGATATCAATGACAAGCTATACAGTTTTAGCTGGTTAGACTCTTTCAGGCCTTGGGATGTCCTTCCGACCTGAAAGTCGCTTTACAAACGTAATTTTGTTGTTGTTGTTGTAGCAGTACTCCCAACGCATACTATGGGGTCCCCAAGCCTTGGCTCTTGCTAACCTGTGCCTAATACTTTCAGGAATTAGGTAAACTGGATGCGTCCCTCCAAGGAAAGAGTGCGCATTTCAACAATTTATCTCTATAATTTCCATGTGTAGATGGGATGCCTAGAATTCTCAGCTTAGTTTGGATCTTCTTAAGCATGGTGACGGGTTTCCGCATATGTCAGATGCTTGGCTGACTAAAAAAAAGAAACAAATGTTTTTGCCAGCTCTTTTGGTGAAGGACAGATACAGGTTGAGTGAAAACAAATGGACAAAATACAACACAGCAATTTATATTTTCTTTTTAAATATTTTGATTTTAATCCTTATATTAAAGGCTCATGTGGAGAATAAACCAGTTGGACCAAATGGCCTGTTTCCGTGCTGTATATTCTAATGTATATATTTTCTCCTACTTGAGGAATGAGTGCCTTCTTTGTCAAGTAAATATCACCATGGTGTTGAAGCATGTGAAAGCTCTCTCCTTATTATGGTCTGAAACTGGTGGAAAATTCTGAGGTGTGCTTTGGATGTACTGATGAAATGCAGCTGCAGCCCTCTAAAATATTAACTGAGCGTTCATGTTGCGAGTATATCATGTACATGTGTGTTTTATTGTTGTTTTGCAGGGTGTTTTAAGCAGAGCTGTGAACTGGAGGGAACTGGAAAAACAGTATGCCACAGAAGCGGTTTATGAAGAAGAAATCGTCAGAATGCTGGAATATTGTGGGGTAAGTCTGGTTTAGTTTACAAAGCGCATGGCATGTCACTGCTAGAGTAAACATTGCCTTTGTACCGTAACCCAATTCCAAATTGTTCATAATTTGACTTGAGATTTTCTGTGAATGGAATATGAGTTGAGTACTTAGATCTTAGTGTGTGATGCTCTCTGTAACTTCTAGACATTTGAGATTGAATCCAGTGCAGAAATATATCTGTTCTGACCTGAAGACCACTGCATCTTTAGTTCTCACAGGCTGTTTCCCAGAGTCCAGTCCACGTGTCTTCTGGACCAGCTCTAGTTAATGTTATGTAACCACTTTATTTGTTTAGTGTATGAGGTGTTTTTAAAAGTAAATATGCATTTGCAGCCTCATGGCAGAGTTTTAGTTTAATGATGAATCTAAAGTGTGATAGCGAACAAGTGTGTTTTATCATTATCCTTCCCCACTCTCTATCTTTAATTGCTATAATTTTTAAAAACGCCACTGAAATTAAGTTACATAACACAAGAAGTGACATATTAACCAAGTATTTCTCCTACTGCTACAGTTAGCACTTTCATAAAAGACATGTAGGTCAGCTGCGGGAACACTGATCCCACCGCCAATACATACGCAAAACGTGCACTTTCACTGTATCATTTGTTACATGGATTTACTCTTTTACCTATTAGGAGTAGTTTAGGAGCACTTTGTCATGAAACAAAGCTGGAAACGTACTGCTTTGCTGGTGTTCTATTTTGCAGGATAGTGGAGGCACTTTCAGGAGTTTCTTCCTGTACTAATTTGATCAATACACATGTGAAACCATTTCTGAAACTTTGGAATTCTCTCCCTCAATCTCTCCGCCTTGCCCCCTCCTTCCCATTTTTCAGATCACGCCTGAAGACCTTCCTCTTCAACCGTGCTTATGGTCACCTTGTCCCTTCCCCCCGGCTCAGTTTCAGGCTGTGCCACTGCTAAGCATTCCGAGACGCTGCCCGCTGTGACGGGTACTATATAAATGCAAGTTGTTGTTGTTTTATTCAGGTGCAACTTTAAACCATTTAATTTGTCAGAAAATTTATTCCTACTTCTATAGCTTTCTCCTTTTCTGATTGTGTGATATAGATTACTCAGATATTTTGTCTATCCCTGAATACAAAAAATGACCAGTTAGTCAAGGAGTCCTTCCTGTGGAGATTGGCCTCAATGTTGCTTGTTGTTTCAGGAAAAGAGAATGGGCGGGGCGAATTCTGTCCATCTCCAAAGAGAGTTTTTATAGGCTAATAATAATACATATAATGGTGTCCCTCCAGGGAGAGAGTGCACATTTAATTCCAATAACCATCTCTGGAATATTCCATGTGTAAGTGGGATGTTTGGTTTGGATACTCTTAAGCATGGTGATGGTTTTCCATGTCTCAATCACCTGGACAACCAAAACAAATCTTTTCCCATTCTCCCCAGTGATTGAGTGTATAGTGCGCCCTCTAAAAAACACTGGTTGGAAAAATAAGACCATTCTTAGGTGGTTTGTGGCTCTCTTGCATGTTCGGCCTAAATCCTGTGTAATTGACTGTCAACACATCTTGTATTTTAATGTTTAGACTGATTCCTTTAACATGGGGCAAGAATTTGTGAAGAATTCCCCATCCAGTTTGGACAACCTGCAACACATTGACCTTGATGCTGACATACAGGATTTAAATGTCAAAAGGCCAGGCATAAGGACTGGAGCAGTTACTCAGCTTCACAGGGAGAAGGCCACCATTGGTGCCTCTGCAGCAGAAGTACTGTTTCAAGATGCTTCAAAGACCAACTGCTCCAGTTACGGAATTAATTCAGTGATCACCAACAAGTATTTACTCTACGAGAACAATGAGCTACTAAAGAGGGGGAAGAGGAGGACCTCTCTAGAACGAGAATCTATGCTTTTCATGAAAGGGGTCATGGATGAATGTACCCATGTGGGAAATTTCTCAGGTACCTCAAGATCTTTCTATGAAATTCAAATTTGACTTGGAATTAACGTTGAAGGAGATGCAGCATGGGAATTGTTTCTGAACTGTTGTGTCCAATATTTTAAAATTCTGAATTCATATGCTTTTCTCTTGATTGGCCTGGATGGATGAAAACACCTGCTGTGCTAATTTACATAGATTTACATATAATTTAAAGTATGGAAACAGGCCACTCAGCCCAACGTGTCCATGCTGGTGTTCATACTTCAAAAGAGTCTCCACTCACCCACTCCTTACTTCCTCCTATACCCTTCTGTTCCCTTCTCCCTTTTCCTCATGAATATACATACATGCGTACCAAAAAAAATAGGCCTTGCAAACCAGGATGGTCTGAGCTGAGGTTTAGTCCCTCCTGTGTGCTGGATTAGAAATCTCAATGAGGTTGGGTAATTTGCATAAATTCCCATCACTGGGGAAGGGGCGAAATGGGGGATTGGCTTTGATATCAGTTGTGACCGAAATTGACTGTAATGGTCATTGTGGTGAAATAATCTGTCAATACGTTTGGACTCATTAGTAAGAATTTTCAGGATAATTGAAGTTGAAATACAGATCAGGCATGATCTAATAGAATGGTGGTACAGGCTTGAGGGGCTGAATGGCCTACTCCTGTTCCTATGTCCTCCCGACGTGAAAGGCGCTCAATAAATGGAATCTTGTTGTTGTTGTTGTTGTATATTCTTATGTTCCAATGTTCCTATGTCAGTTGGATTCAATAGCCTAGTATGAGTAGAGGCAGAATATTTGAGAGTTGAGTTTGGAAACATTGGGAAATGTGTAACCAAACTCACCAAGATTCTGAATAATGTTTGTTGGTACTGTAAGTGCTCATTGTATTGTACTAGCACATAAATTATCTTTTCTTGGTACAACAGTAAGTTTGATGTGTAGCCAGAGTCAAGTGCTGAACAGAGACCAACTGTTTTCCTCGGTTAGGTGTGTGGGTGCAGAGAAGAAAAAGAAATCACAGGTGAATTGTCTCAGCATGTTCATGTGAAGCACCTAGCTTGAAATGTATATAGCCAGAGATCTGGGAGTAAGTAGGTGCTGTCTATCTTCTTAGTCACAAAATGGTGCATGGAATGAAGGAGAGAGAAGGACACCACTTAAGTCAGGCAATCAAAAATCCTAAATCTATATGGACCACAATCTTTCACAGTAATCAAATATTGTTTATCACTCTATAAATGTTTACTGATTCTCACAGTTAATCCTTCAGCATTAACCTCTGCACAATACACTGGCTGATGTTTGCCAGTGTATTGGCAAGCATTGGTATGGTAGATAAAAAAAATCTCTAGGAGCGATTGTAAGGTTGCAATCTCACAATGTATTATGAGATGGGATCAGCTTCCTCAGGACAGATCCGGAGTGAAGCTTGTACCTTTCTGGTCACTGTGACTTTCACAATTGTTAGTGGCTTTACTAATCGAAGCATCAGGAGGTGAATAGCTCTTTTAGTTTGTTTTCTTTGGCTGCGAACCATTGCTAAGAGAGTGGGCAAGTCTGTTTGATGATAACCACTCTGAAATCGCTCGCTGAAAAAATGTGCCAGACAGCACAAGATATGACTCTTCTTTAGTTCTTTTCTTGCCTCTCTTTGGAAAGCTCCCAAATCAGGCGTCGTAACACTTTCTTTTGAAATATCCTCTAAACTGAGGCGGAACAATCATCAGGCCTTTTTACACCATTCTAAACAATGCTATCAAAAGCAAAACAGGAAACATACTTCAAATACTGCTTTTGTCTTCAAGACAGGAAATCTGACAAAGTATATCTTTGAAGCTTTGGGACATTTTGGCAATGTGATAATAATAATTTTAATCCTTGCATTTGATGTCATCATGACCTCTCAAAGGATATACTGTAAAATAGATGCATTTTGTCGGTGAAACACAGCAGCCATTGGCATGAAATCTGAAGGCTGGGCCACCAAATATGGTGTGGAGTGAGTGGAAACTCTGAGTTAGCCAAGCAGAGGAAATGAGCAGAGGAGAGGGGTAGGAGATCAGTGAGATGGAGGTGGTGGGTGTGGTGTTAGGGCATGAAAGAAAACATGAGGAGACAACTACAGGACTCCACACTAAACTACAGGACTCCACACTAAACCGCAGGACTCAACACTAAACTACAGGACTCCACACTAAACTACAGGACTCTGCACTAAACCACAGGACTCTGCACTAAACTACAGTACTCCAAACTAAACTACAGTACTCCGAACTAAACTACAGGACACCCAATGTCTTTTGAGGAGATCAGTGTCTTTGACCCCCCCACAACAACAACAACAACAACAACAAGATTACATTTATAAAGCGCCTTTCACGTCAGGAGGACGTCCCAAGGCGCTGCACAGTTGGGTCATGACCCGAGCAGGGGGGAAATGGTCAGGGTGAGGGGAGGGAAGGGAGGGAGCAAGGAGGGGGGAAATGGTCAGGGTGAGGGGAGTGAAGGGAGGGAGCGAGGAGGGGGAAGAGAGTCGAGAGGGGAGCTGAAGGCACGGTCAAAGAGAAAGGTTTTGAGACCGGCCTTGAAGGAGGAAAGGGAGGAGGCGGCGAAGGCACTGGGGGATAGAGTTCCAGAGCCTCGGGGCTGAGAGGCTGAAGGCCCGACCACCGATGGTAGGGCGGTTGGGGCGGGGGACGTGGAGCAGACCGGAGCCAGAGGAACGGAGGGTACGGGCAGGTAGGTAGGGGGATAGTAGGTTGGAGAGGTAGGAGGGAGCAAGGCCGTGAATGGCCTTGTAGGTGAGGATGAGGATCTTGAAATCAATCCTCTGGGGGATGGGGAGCCAGTGGAGGCGAGCGAGGGTGGGAGTGATGTATACCACATGTACTGATATTGATTGATGAACAAAATCAGGGTTTGCTTGTGAAGGGAAGGGGGAATTATATGTGGGAAATGATTTAGGGAGAGGAAATTGCGACATTTGTGTCAGATGAGGAAGTGGGGAGAGGGAGGATAGAAGAAATCCCACAGTCTGGCCTGATTTGTCCTGTAGTTCAGTGGTTATAGCACTCACCTTGTAGAGACCTGGGTTCGATCCTGGCAGAGTGAAATGTTGGGCAAGTTTCCTTACTCCGTGCCTCTGTTTACCTAGTAGTAAGTAGGGACCTGGTTGTCAGTTGATTGGCGGATCGCTTTTCCGGGGATGATAAAAACCTTCACAAAAATAATAATAATAAATTGGTCACTCAATCCACGACTGTTTGTGGGACACATTGGCTGCTGCGTTTTGCCCACAAAATATACAGTCAATTCACTCTACAGTATATTCTGTGAAGGCTTTGTGATGTATCAAAAACGTGATAAGGGCTATATCAAATGCAAGGATTATTATTAGTATCCCCTATTTTTTCTATTTTTTTTGAACCGTGAATTGAAGATGATCACTCTAATTTTACATTCACAATCAGCCTACATAGATGACCAGTTCTCCCAGCTGTCATCATAGCCTGGTGGAGTGTGTGCCATTTAATGTTTGATCTGAATTTAGTTTGGCTTTACCATTCTAAATCATAGCACAGTTTTTTTTCTTAATCAGAAAACTAGTGTATTCACTTTACTGGTTGCCGATTTACTGCTTGGTACAAGGTGTTGACAAGTGTTTTGTTATCAGCCTTTTGATGTCTGATTGTAGATAGTACTTGGAGGAAATTATGTATAGGATTGTTGGCCACCAGTTCTCACCCCCAAAAAAGATGGGAAAAAGATTTTTTTAAAAAGAAATATGGAAAGCAAATCTCATTTCCTGATTATGTTAGCAAGACATTTTAGGCTGTTTGTTTGGTGCTTGGAATAACGTGTCACTCAGGTCAGGTTTGCAGTATTGCATCATTTGTGCTGAAATCCATGGGTAAAGTACTATTGAGGACAGCTGCTTTCTGTAAAAATGTCCCCATTGATGTTTCTCTTGGTAACGTATGTTACAGCATATAAATGAACCCTTCTGGTTACTTTTTGGGGGGAGGTGGTAAATTCATATTTACAACGTAAATTTCAATATTAGGATTGGAAACATAAAACCATAAAAAATAAAATTGTACAAATTTTACACAGAATGTGTCTTGTCTAGCGAAAAACAGGCTTAACCTATCCAATCTATCCTGATGGCAGTAATCGGCCAGCCCTGGTATCATCTCCATAAACCTATCCTGTACTCTTTTCTATCGCTGCTATACCTTCCCTGTAATGTGGAGACCAGAATTGGACATAATACTCAAATGTAGTCTAAACAAGGTTTTATATCAATTCAACATCACTTCCTCACTTTTATATTCCTCTGGATTTAAAGCCCAAGACCCTATTGGCCTTATAGCCTTATGTAGCTACATTTAGAGATTTGTGGATCTAACTCCTCTCAGGTTTCTACCATCTACATTTCTTTATTTTTCCTGCTGAAGTTAATTATTTTGCATTATCCTACATTAAACTTAATTTGCCATCTGTCTGCCCATTCTGCTATAGTCGGTTTATGTCTTCCTGCATTCTCCTGTAATCTCCTTCATTGTAGCTCGACCCCCAGTTTGGTTTCATCTGCAAGTTTTGACACCACACCTCCTATAACTGAATCCAAATCATTTATGTATATGCTGAACAGTAGAGGACCTAACATTGATTATCCATTTGATATTGATCTCTATAATTTTCAATAATTTTGAAATAAAACAGTTATTGTTCTTCTTGAACACTCACACCGCTGCTTGAATTAGAGTTTGCTATGTGGAAGCCTAGTTTTTTAATCAGACACTGGAGCATTTTACGTTCTGCATTGTATTTGGGGAGCCTGGAACTAAATCCCACCTCTTTGCTGTGGTGTCGCTTGTATCATAATCTATTGTACTTATTTAAATATCACATGTATGTACATACAAAGCCAACTCCAGCAGTAACTGCAACACAGAAATGGAAAGCCATCTACTCTGTTTGCACTGATAATTAAATCAGCATTTAGTCCTTTCTGTTCCACATTCTGGTAACTTTAAGCCTTCCTGGGAACTGGTTATTTCTGTGAACCATTTAAGTATAAATTGAACAAGATAGTGGTTCTCTTTTTATACCAAATGAATACAGAATACTCCAGAGCACTAAATGAAACTATCTTCATCCTGTTGAAGAATGTTGTTTTTAACTTGACAGGTTTGCCTTCAGAGGCCAGCCCTCTTTTGGAGGCAACTCATAATGTAAAACAGACAGTAGTGCAATAATATTTACACCCTTGTGCATGCGCAATACCACTAGTTTTTTTTCACTTCCCAAATTACAGTAGCAGAACCATGAAAAAGGACAAGAACAAAGTGGCCTGAAATTCAGGTGCAGCTCCTGCAATGAGGTGGTATCTGAGAAAAATGGCATTTTTGTTGCTAGTTTACTTCATAGGTTGTAGAGGCGATTTACATAACGGAGGGTTGTAATGCTACTTTTTGAGCTTCTAAAACCACAATGTAAAAACAATACATAAATGTTTCCAGTGGAATACTTGTGAAGCCATATTTACATTATACATAGTATACAATTAGTCCTTTCACTACTAAGAAAATTGTGTTGTCCAACTGCTGTTGAAATATATGATTTGATGTTTTCTTTCATTTTCTTTGACTTCAATTACAGTGCCAGTAGACCCAAGCCTAATTATAGTGGTGCAAGCTAAAGAAGACGCCTACATCCCCAGAGTAGGAGTCCGCAGCCTGAACGAAATCTGGCCTGGCTGCGAAATTCGATACTTGGAAGGGGGTCACATTAGTGCCTACCTTTTCAAACAAGGACTATTCAGGTAAAGCAATGAAAAATAGCTGAAATACTCTAGTGACTTTTTAAGAGAATGGCTGAGGGTTTGTTGAATTTTTCTCCCTATGATGCCCAATCCGGACTTAGAGGCAGAATGATGCCTTCTCTGGATTTGCTATGTCAGTGACATTCATTAACTGGCTGCTTAGTAGTATGCACAAGTAAATTTTCTTTTGTTTGGCATTTCTCTATGTGAAGAGCTGCATGATAATTGTTCAACCCTGTGTACTTAACAAATTGGTGTGGATTAGAACAGACCCACAAGGAAATAATAATCCTTTCATTTGATGCCTTATTACGGAATCAAGACATCTCAAAGCACCTCATGGGATATACTGTAAAGTATTACTGTGTGTATTTTGTGGGCAAATGCTGCAGTCAATTTGTGCATAACATTTGTCCCACAAACATCAATGGAGTGAGAGGCATTTGGTATGCAGCGCTGGCATGGAAATGGCCGTTTTAAACACAAACTATGGTATTGAGTTTAATCTCTACAGGTGAACAACTCCTGCCTAAGATAGCCAATATGTATGTGTTTGTATAATTGTCGCTTTCAATATTCCTGACAAGCATAGAGTTCACAGTAGCATAGAATTCTGGCTCATCTATTTACTGTGTCAGCTTCGCCCGTTCGAAAGAACTTTTGCCCCTGGCTCAGGTTGTGAGTTCAAGTCATATATCAGGACATTGAACTCATAGTCTACCTTTTGGCTACTGAGGGCTGGATGCCCTATTTGAGAAACGTCTGAGGACCCCGTAAGCTATATTTTTGTGTTTCCCATCTGGAAACATAACATGACATTCACGGGTTATGGAGAGAGCAGGTACACCAGATGAAATGGAGGGAGATGGGGAGCCTGGTGAAATTGGCCCACAGGCTGTATGCGGCCCGTGGGCCATCAGTTGGACCACCCTGGTCTAGGCTGACACTCCAGTGCAGCCTGAAAGAGTGCTGCATTGCTGTCCTTTGGATGAGATGAGAAACTAACATCCTATCTGGCGCTTCAGATTCATGAAACTATTCAAATCAAGTAGGGGGATTCTTTCAATATCTTGGCCAGCAATGTTTCAGACAAAAATTGATCCTTCATTTCATTAATATTTATCAGACATAATATTGTGCACAAATTGGCTGCTGCATTTACCTATCTGCATTTACCTACAGTCTATTCTGTAAAACACTTTGAGACGTCGAGAAGACGTAAAAAGCGCTATATCAAATGCAAGGATTATTATTATTACAAATGCACGGTCACTTCACCTAACAGCTAAGCTTTGAGACATTAACATTATAAGCGCTATATTAAATGTGTATATATATATATACGTGTGAATGTGTGAATTCCTGACTTTCAGATTGACAGAAGGTTGTCTTTGAGGGTTTCTATTTTGGTGTTGCGGTGGGGGTGAGGGGGTGGGGGGTTCTATTTTGGTGTTGGAGGGATGGGGGGAGATGAATTGCTAAATTCTCCTACAAACGACTAACTATTAAGTGAGCATAATTTACTGTCGGTAAACTGTTTCATGACTGTTCACATGTACTAATGAATGGGTTCCAGAATATCTCCTGGTTCCATTTTTACATTATTGCACAATGTTACCATTAAAAGAAGGAAACCTTCTTCTGCAATTATGATCTGTTTTGCTCACAAAATATATAGTCAATTCACTTTACATATAATCTGTGAAGCGCTTTGAGACGTCTTGAAGATGTGATAAGGCACTATATCGAATGCAAGGATTATTATTATATTTATTAAAGAAAAGATATGCAAATTAAAAATTATGAGAGATATACCAGTAGATTTAAGGTTACAGAAGAAAGAAAAGCCACTAGATATTCAAACTATATTCAAAAAGCGAGGAGGAATAATTGTTAGCTATACTGTACAAAACTGCGATTGTGTACAACATTTAAAATCAGTAATATAATAATAATCCTTGCATTTGATATAGCACTTTTAACGTTTTCTAGATGTCTCAAAGCGCTTCACAGAATATACTGTAAAGTGAATTAACTGTATAGTTGTGGGCGAAACACGGCAACCAATTGTGCACAGCAGTGTCCCACAGTCGTGGATTGAGTGACCAAATTATTTTTTTTTTTAAAGAATTATTATCCCCGGAAAAGTGATCGGGCAATCGACTAACATCCAGGTTCCTATTACTGCTAGGTAAACAGAGGCGAGTGGAGTAAGGAAAGTTGCCCAACATTTCGCCCTGCCGGGTAACGAACCCCGGCAGTAATTTGGTTTCTAAACTAGAAAATTTATATTATTTCTGTATTCTTTAATCAACATTCTACATTATGACTCAAAGTCGTAAGACAATTGTCTTGCTTATAAGACTTATGTAAGACTTATGTTTGAGGGTTCAAGGCAGTTTTAAGTTTCTACAGCAGTTTGATCCTATCTATTATCCCCATTTTGGAGATGCTGTGCACTTCATGTAGGGCTGGTTTCTGAGGCTGTCGTGTATGTCTATTACTTGATGATGCTGCATCAAAAGGGTACATTAGAACCCGGGCAGCTGAGGAGAAATTGAGAGAAGATGGGGTTTAGCTCCTGCAGTCAGAATGTGCAAGATATTTTGGAAACGGGCTCAAAATCATTTCACTTTGATTCCTATGTTATCAAAGGACACCCCTTAAATTTCAGTTGGTTGTGTTGAGTAATCTACTACAAATGCTATCTTGACAGTGGGATAATTTCCCTACTTTATCTTGCCTTCTTGCCAACCAGCTTACTCTCTCTTTTCTTTATCTTTTGGATCATTTTGTATAATAGGTCTGAAATGTCCTTGATACATTTTATTTGGTGTTGGTAGTATACCCACTCCAGTTTTCTTTTCAATTTGCCAACTAATTAAGCATTGTGTAATTTCTGTTTGCAGGCAAGCTATTTATGATGCATTTGACCGCTTTCTTCAGAAGTATACCATCTAATATTGAGCCATGGATGCCAAGCTGTTGCCAGTCTCACATCTTCAGGACGTTACAGGTTTCATTTACTGCACTGCAACGACTCCAAATTACTACTACAAGAAAATTAATTGTGCGGACAATCTTATATTCAAGGGGTGATTGTCAATCATTAAGTGTTGGTTTGGAGCCTCAGTATTATTGTAACACTGAAACATGCTTTGTGTACCATATCTCAAGACAAAATCTTCTTGCCCTGAGATTTCAGTATGTGTTGACACTGGCAATTGCTGTTATGTTTTCCATATCAAGGCTTATTTAATAATATTCACAACTATATTGACAGTTGCACATCGATCAAACATTCCTAATTACATTTAAACAAAGTTCATTACTTTTTCCCATCATCATGACGGACTTCATCCAAAACAACTAAGATGCGCGATTCGATTAAAATGATTTGTGTCCTGAGTGGAACCATTATCCGCCATTTCAAAATCCATCAGCTCATCACCATATTTAATTTGTCTTCTTCCTAACAAACTATACTATAAACCAGTTCACATTCCCATTAATTAGCATACTGTTTCTGATTCTTTCTGACTGATTTGATCTGGAATTAGTTTGTAGTTATTCTCTCTCCTGTCACTCATTACTCTCTCTCTACTCTCCATCATTACTTGTTCTTTTCTCATGTTTAATTTCTCTGCTCTGCATATATTTCCTTGCTCGGCATATCAGGGTGATGCAAAATGTGAATTTTATTGTACCTTTTTTACCAAATTTATTATAACATCTTGATTGTCCCATCTTGTAACATTTCTTCCCTTTCCCTTCTCTAACTTGTCTTTGTGACTAATGCAGAGTGAATTGTGTGCATGTGCCAATGCAGTCTTTCTTGCTCCAAAGTTTGGAATATGAAATGTTCCTGTGTCCCAGAATTGAGCTAAAAAACACCAATTAGAAACCAATAGGGTGGATTAATTAACCTAAATCAGATTTGTTAAGTGTGTGCCTTCATTTTGTTTTGTGAACTTGGGTACCAATGGTCAAGAAAAATGGATGGAAATCTAAATTTCTTTTACAACCGTAAATACTATTTGGAAAATTGAATATTTGTACTATTGTATTAAAAACCCCCACAATCCTCTACAAAAAGGAGAAATCTGGTACTACTTGATACTACATCATGCCAACAAAATTTATAAACCAAGGTCCCAATCCAGCAAGATAATAATTTGGTATTCTGCTCAGTTTTCTTGTTTCACGGAATTTAGAGTAAATCAATCCTTCTGACATGAAAGGTGCTTTTTTAAATGCAATTTGTTGTTTTTATTGTTGTTTTACATTTTGAACTACTAATTTTTGGATGCAGTGCATGCATGAATGCCTTGATTTTTTATTTTTAATGCAGTTTGATGAAGAAATAACTGATCATTTTATAATTAATTTAAACATGTACTTTTTTTCAATAATAAAAATGATAGAAGATCAACTTTTGGCCTATAATGTGCACTGCTGATACCAAGCTTTCTGACCAGGCAAATATGAGACTAATATACAAGATGATTAGGCACAAGTTTCAACAGATGGCCTTTGAGTTGAAATAGGTTATTCTAAAATGTGATTTTTTTGACATATGGGTGTCTGATATACACAGAATCCCATCACCATGCTTAAGAGTATCCAGCTTAAAGTTGCACATATAAATGCCATGGAGATTTTCTTGTATCTAAAACGGGAGTGTGCACTCTCTACTTGGAGAGCCGCACTCTGCTTACCTAACTTCAAAGAGTCTTAGGAAAGTTGGAAAGAGCCATGAGTTGATGAGCCTGGTGTGTCCGTTGGGGGTACTGCTGGAGTTTAAGAGATTGAGAGCACTGTCTGGCAAGCATCACTCTGCTTGTCCAACTAGGATCACCCTACTCATTGGAGCTTTGGCTTGCAGTGTTAACAGGAGCTGAGTAGGATGAACACTGCTCTCAATGACTTGTTTGCTCCTCCAAGTCTTGTCAGTGAGTCAGGTTGGCTGCTTTATCATCACGATTACCTTGGAATAACTGGTTTAGGAAATGGACTATAGAGACCGCCACTGGTTCGATTCTGACATTCCATTGCCTGAATATTTAGATATGTTTGGTGGAGTATGCAGGGAACATTTTCGGCACTGGCTTTTTTGGTGTGAAAAACGCCAGTAAATGCATATACCAGCATTATAATTACACTTTGCAGGAAATTCTGGCTCACCAGAATTTCGCTTCTCCATTAGTCCACCATCTGGGCTTACACTGTACATAATCAACATGTATTCCCACTTATGTCTTTTAAATGTCAAAGTTAAGAGAATACTTATCCTGACCACCAATTGGGAATAAATATGGAAAGACCTCTTACCAGTGATCTAAACAGCTTACTATCCTCTGGCCATTGAAGACAGGGTGAGGCTGAGGTCCGCACCAGGAGAGTGGGCTGATGGAGTCAACGTGTGTGGTCCGTCTATGGAGTCTGGTACGCCGGGGCGGGAATAGAAACTTATTTTGGGTCAGCGGATGTCTGACATGTGGAAACCCATCATAATAATAATAATCCTTGAATTTGATATAGCGCTTTTCACGTCTTCTCGACGTCTCAAAGTGCTTCACAGAATAGACTGTAAAGTGAATTGACCGTATATTTGTGGACGAAATGCAGCAGCCAATTGTTTAATCATTATGTTTAAGAGTATCCGAACCAACATGCATCCCACCTATATTTCATTACAAAGGTCATTCATTACAGACAGGAACAGCATAATAACATTGCTTCGGAAACTATATTAGTAAATCCTTTTTTGGTCCACTTTTTTACAAAAAATACAGTAATTGAATTAATGTCAAATTATAACATTTACATTTATGCAGTGTTTTTAACCGGAACAGTGTTTCTAAGCTTTCGACACTGCGAGCTGGACACCCGAGCTGGGAATGAAAGCCGAAGGAGGCGGGGAGAGGAAAGATGACCGACAGCTTAGTCAAAGAGGTACATATTGAGTCAAGCCTTGAACAATCGGAGGCAGGCAGGGAGCAAGTCGGGGATTCCAGTATAAAGTTCCAGGCAGCAGAGTCAGAATGACTGATGACTGATGTCTGCTGATGACGGAACGGATGAAGTAGGTCAGTATTTTCTGAGTGAAGGATTGGCAGAGTCGAAGGAGGATGCACAGGTACGGAGGGCAATCAGTGAAGGGTTTGAAATTGAGAATACCTTTTAAATCCCTACCCACTCAGCTTTTCGTCACATTGCTCAACTCTGCCACTATCTTTTTAGGTCACAAAGACCGCAATTACGCTTTTATACATCCAAGCTTCACGCTGCTCACTGAATTCCCAGCTCTTCACTATACAAGCTACAGACCATCCAGCACCCTGCACCTTGTGTCCTCCCTGCACGATGAGCCTATCATCCCATCTTTGCTCAGCTCCATTGGCTCCTCATCCCCCAGGAAATCGATTTCAAGATCCTTATTCTCACCTTCAAATTCCAACACGGTCTCGCTCCATCCTACCTCTGTGACCTCTTTCAACCCTGCCGACCTGCTGCTCCCATCACTAAACTGGCACCAAACGGCTTCATGTCTCCTACGCCACAATCAGCAACTAGACTTTCTGCTATTCTACCCCTGCTCTCTGGAACTCCATTTCAGAATTCTCCCAATTGGCTCTCTCCTACACCTAGTTCAAGGTCTGTCACCTTGTTCAACGGCGTGAAAGGCCTATACAAATGTAATTTATTATTGTTGTCATCTCAAGACATACCACTTTATGACTGTGGTGCCACTCCCTTGGATCCCACCTCCAACTTGGGTGCTTACTCAGCTTAGAGGCGTCCTCCCAATGTGAAAGGCGCCATATAAATGTAAATTGTGTATTGTATAGTGGCAGAGAGATAAAGTTGGGTATCATCTGCGTAAATGTGGAAGTCTGTGGATGATGTCACCAAGTGAGAGTGTATAGATGGTTAAGAGGAGAGGATCAAAGAACAGAATCGCGGCAGAATATGCTTGCTGATCTATTTGTGCTCCTTATCCAAAACTGACTGAGATGTAATCAATAAATGTCCCAATGTCTTGATGCCACGCATAAAGGTTAAAGCATTATGTGGCCATTCATTAGACTACACATCCTTACACGCCACAGAGGCATATGGAGTTAGGAAATTTGCCTAAGATTTTGCACTATCGGGACTCAAACCCGGGTCCTCTCCTTGTGAGGTGAGTGCTCTAACCACACTACAGAAGCTTTAATTCATGTAATTTTCCTATCATAAAGCAGTTCTCCCACTTTTGCCAAGTTTCTCTTTACCGTGACGTCTTTAAATAATAAGATCCATATGCCAGCTTATGTTACAGAGCCCGCTTTGAAGTCTACTGCAACAAAATTAACATACGTTTCTTGTATGAAATTACAGTTCACACACTGTGCAGCACACAATTGTGCTTACATTAAAATGTCAAAATACATTTTACAAAGATAATAAAAGCAAAAGAGTGAAATTAAGCAAAAAAGTAGAACGTTCACAGAAGAATTCCACATTAAAAAAAATGTCAAGGGTATGGGGTAAGAGTGGGGAAGTGGGACTAATTGGATAGCTCAATTGTAAGGAGTGTAAGGGAAAAAAAGCAAGGAAAAAAATTAAGCAGAATTCGAGTGCTGTAAAAGGATTTGATTCAGTTTGTACACATTTATATTCTCGCAATCATGGTACCTTGTGAATGGAAACTCAGTTATATAATGTGAGATGGCAAACTATATTACTAAAATCTATTTACGAACTTTCCAAAACTTTGCACAACTGGCATATCTATCAGACTTCCATCCAGAAAGATCCAACAGGAAGTTACTTCTTCTTGAATCCTTTACTTTTACATTCTTAATATCGTGAAAATTATGCCACAATCCTGTTATGCTGGTAATTTCTTACCTAGCTGTGACAGTTTCAGATGGCATGATGCCTGGCAAGTAATGATCCATTGGTGATATGAAGTGTCCATTCATGATCTTACAGTCTGCTTGTTCCTCCACCTGCAACCAACAGTATTCAGTTATCTTAATACTCAAGTAACACAAAGAAAGCAGTTCACTTTTATTTTGTAATCTATATTTGTGCTCCTCAGATCCACAACTATTCATTCTCCTCCCCCCAAACCCCCCTCCCCTTTCCCAAACTCACACACACACACACATACACCAAATCAACTCACAGCAATGGGTCTATTATTGAGGCAATGCTATTGTTGTACCAGGCAAGATGAGCTGTACAAGTATAATAATAATCCTTGCATTTGATATAGTGCTTTTCACGTCTTCTAGACATCTCAAAGAGCTTCACAGAATATACTGTAAAGTGAATTGACTGTATATTTGTGGGCGAAACATGTTATGAGTTGACATTCCACCTGGTTCATGGCCAGAGCAACAGATAAAGACTCACCATTATCAATAAACAGTTCCTTTGTGGTCCATAAACTTGCAATGAAATTTCAACTTTGCAATACTCTAATGACATTATACTGTGTGTACAGATTTTCAAAATGTACCATCCTTAAGGTAACTCCAAAATATCTAAGTTCCCGATGTTCAATATATATCCTAGAAGTACAATTGAAATCTATACAGAGAAGAGTAAAACAGGTTCTCTCATTAAAAACTAAAAATGATCAAAAATGAATTCAATTTACCTGCATAAAATATCTTTGGGTACTTTTAGTAAGGAATTCTAATTATAATGCTAATAATAATCCTTGCATTTGATATAGTGCTTTATCATGTCTTTGAGACATCTCAAAGCGCTTCACTGTAATGTGAATTGATTATATTTTGTGAGCGAAACTTAAAAGCATTAACCAAAAATAGGGAAAATAGCCAATGTACCATTTAGTGATAATCATTATGCAAAAGTGTTAATGATAAATTACTTTCATGGTGAATTTTTTTATGAGAAATGGAAGGGGCAGTTGGCATTTCAGCGTATTGTGTTGATTCCCAAACACTTACATATGTATCATATGATCTGCAGATACAGTAATTTTAAAGGCAAACTGGTGTATTTGGTCGAGTGGTTGATCCAGTTGTGCTCATTTGTTACCTGTTTGCACAATAAGGTAGTAATGAATTAACATACTTTAATTATTAATGTACAATTTAATAATTTATTGCATGTTTAGTATTTAACCCCTGCATTTTTAGTATTTAATATCTGTGTCAAACAATGGGTAATACATGGGAACTAAAGCAACATAAACAACGACAACAACAAATAAATGTATACAGAGCTTTGCAGGACTTAATAAAAAGACAAATAAAAGAATTCTTTAACGACATGATAAGGAGCTGTATCAAATGCAAGGATTATTATTATTACTGTTGCTAAATGGGCGCTCAGGGGTAAGTGGGTATGTGGTGGGGAAAAGGCACTTTTAATGTGGCGTCAGCACTTCACCACCTTTTTCTCTCTCTCTCTCTCACTGGCCCTCTCTGGCTGCTGTGCAGCTCAGTGGACACCGCCCCGGGAACTGATTGACAACTCATCCAGTGCGTGACGTCAATCACCGCGCGAGAGAGACGTGTACTTCCGGCGGCGTGTTTTGAAAGGCGGCGAGAGCCCTGAAAGGTGCGTTGAGTGCGCAGGCGTAGAGCTTCCCCCCCCCGCCCCCGGACAAGGTCGAGTAGCTAAGAGGAGGGGTCACGTCAATTGGTACGCAGGCGCGGAGCCGCTCCTCACAAGGTCGGGAAGCTGAGTGGCCATGTCAGTCAGTGCGCAGGCGCGGAGCCTCCGAACAAGGTCGGGGATCTGAGAGGAGGGGCCACGTCAGCCATTGCGTAGGCGCGATGTCGTCTGTCGAGTTCTCGATTTAACATGGCGGCAGCAGGGTGGAAGCATGTGTCGATTTGAGCGAATGGAAATGTGCAGGGCAGAAAGCCAGGAAGTCAGTGAGTGAAAACTCACACCTGTCCCCCCTCACCACTACCCAAAAAAAACCAAGAGAAGGGTTAAAAAAAATCCAGACAGGTCGGTTAGGAGTGTTACTCCTGGAGAGGAGAAAAAGAGACGGACGATCGGACATACACCTGCCGGTGTTGGAGTGGGGTGAGACTGGTGTGGAAACAATTTGTTGCAGTTGTGTGCTTGGCTCGGTTCTGGGGAGGAGATGAGGGTTCTCGGTTTCGGTCGATCTTTCCATATGGTGCGGGAAGCTGCCATGCGTTTTCCCAGCTTTGCTTTATTCCCCTCTCCCTTGTCCACGGCGAGAGATTCGTCCCCTGTAAACACACACTGAAAGAAGAGGCGAGGGGGTGGTTTGCATCTGGAGTATGCTCATGGCGACGGTAAAGGTGGTGAGTTGATGGGAGGAGTGGGGCAGTCAAGCAGTTCGAGGAAATTATTTCGTTTGCAGGGCAAAAAAAGTGTCTGGGATGACTCTGCTTTTAAAGGCGCTGCACCCTGAATAGAGTGTGCGCGAGGAGAGAGATGGGCTGCTCCCGCGTGCGCTCTGGGCTGGGCTCGAGATATGGACGTTAATGGAACACGAGGAGAGAGAACGTTCAACGTTTAAATCCACACCGCCCCCGGAGGGGGGGGAGAGCGCCGCGTGTCACGCGCACACCTCGCCGCGCGGGCTGCCTGGCTGGTGCGCTCTCGAGGCCGAGGCGCATAAACAGATCCCGTTTCCAGAGCAACCACTGTGTGTTGTAACAATGGCGTGAAGCGGCGGCGTGGGGTGGGGGGGAGAGAGTGTGAGTGACAAGCGCGTCACCCCTCCTCACGTTGGTGGGGGGGGGGGGAGAGAGTATGACGGGCTGCGCAGAGCGGCGGCTGCGCCATGGGGACACGTCAATGGGCAGCGCGCACAGCACCACACGCACAGCAGTAGGAGCAGCACATGGTCCCGGAGAGCCGGGCAACAGCGCTCTCCTTTGGCTAATCGAACACTCAACTTCCTCTCTTTCTCCACCCACCTTCTCCTCTTCTATTAAGAAAAAAAGGAGGTGGGTGGTGGTGGTGGTGGTGTGCTGCGAGCGGCGGCAGCAGCAGGAGGACGCGTGGTTGTTTTTTTGCTTCTCCAAGCCCGACTTTGAGAGAGTGGAGAAGGACGAGAGAGACGCGTATTTTTGTACATCAGTTATATATTTAACCTTTTTTTACCCACCACCACTGACCCGCATCCGCAGGGCGCTGTGTTTTTAAAGTGAGATTGGAGCAGCTGTTTGCTTTTTTCAGCCTGACGACCTTCTGTCTGACCAGATCCTTTTCATTTTTTTAATATTTATTTATCATAGATAAGAGAAAATCTCAAGCCGAGGTTTGGTGTGGATCTGTTTCTACAAATCCAATTTCTTAAAATATACTCATCACCCCGGTGACCGAAAGAGGACAAAAAAAGACCGCAAAAGGAGGCTTTTTAAAATTTTTAAATCTTTTTTGAAAAGAAATACTCACTGGTTCGCCTTTTTTGAAATATAATATTTTAATTCGATAGTGAGTGAAGTGGGACTTTTTTTTTAAAAAAAGCTGAATTAAAGCGAGTGTGAGCCCACTCGGCCCAGACACACTTAGCATAGAAAGGGAATGGCCACCGAGGTCGAGTCTCGCATGGTCCAGCCCTCGGATCACGAAGCCTCTGGTCAGCCGCCCGGTTGCTCGCAGGACGAGCCCGTCGTCACCCGCGACCGCTCATCGTCCTCGTCCGCTTCGGGAGGAGACGAGGACTCGCAGGGAGGAGGCCTGTCGGAGAGGAGAGACGTGGGGCTTGTAGGCCAAGAGGAATCCGAGTCACCGCCACTCCCGAGCCAAGTGGAGTTGGACATGTCAACCGATCCGAGGAAAGAGGATAAAGAAAACGACCAGAGCCCGGGGGAATCGGAGGAGAAGCAACAGAACAAATTCACTGAAGCGCCTCCTCCTAAAATCAACCCCTGGACCAAGAAGAACATGGTCACCGTGAACAGCGTGAGGGTCAGCAGTCCAGAGCCAGGTTTGTGAAGCAAATCTCGTGTGTCAGTCACTTCTGTGTGTGAGGTGTTATTTTGGAGCTGCAAATAGACGAAAGCATAAATGGCTTTAAGATGTTCAGACTCTTCAACATTAAGTTTTTGTGTGTCTAGNTTTTTTTCCTGTTTCATGAATGTCCCATGGAAATATTGAACAATATCTTTAAAAATGAGCGAGTATTGTATTTAAAGAACTTGCACGATGGAGCATTTTACGCAATCGTATTTAAAACAATGGTTTTAGGGAGAAGCTGTGTATCGATGTCAATTTAAGATCGTCTCAAATTAGTTGCGATTCTCCTTGGAAAGGGGTTGGGGGTGGGGCCTGGTCATAATAGCTGCTTTGATCAATTTATAGTTCGAACACTTCTAAATTTATGCTGTTCAGAAAATATTACGATCAGTCAATTTGTCTTCGACCAAATGTGTTGCCATATTGGTCCATGTCATTCATCCATTTTATTTACATAAATGGGCATCAGAAAAAGCAAATCAGTAAGAGGTGTGGTCTGTTTACACTCCCAGACCAGAGCTTAATCTAGCCGTAATTAAATTAATGGAGGTAGACGACAGAAACGCTGCATTATGATTGCTTTAGTGTTGTTCCTATAGAAAAGCTGGTAAGAGAAGGAAGCTGATTTGGGAAGCTGCAAATGTATTTGTGGGGATTAAAACAAAATTATTTTTAGCTCGACAGTAACTGTGTATTTTGTCATCGGCCCAGATCTCGATCTAATCCAGATCATTGCACGTTTATGTCTCGGAGAAAATCGCTCCTGGTTTTAGATTCAAACGTCCACAGTTTTGTGCTTTTTGTTCCGTTGAGGCAGCGTCAAGTGATTTGGGGGGTGACTCGGTTCTTTTAATCGAGGCCGCACACATCCAACTGGGTTTACCCACAATCCCGCCGGCAGAAAACGTGGTCCTGTTAGCGAGTGTGTGCAAGTTAGTGAGCGTTAACTCTTACAGTGCACAGAAGATCTCAATTCGAGCAACGCCAGGCTGCTGAATGACTTATTTTAGGGCAGCTTGCTGATCGGTGCACATCCAGGAAACACTGCAGGACTTGGCGAGTTTCAGTGCTTACCATCCCCCAATCTCTGATCGAATTTCATGGTAGCACGTGTAAGGTCGATCACTGCAATCAGTTTGAATATGTCTGTAGTATAGCAGAAAGATGTTTTTTTAATTGGAGACAGACTGACAGTACTTTAGAAACTTGCATTGCATAAGTATTTTTCATGTTTGAACCTTCAGCAACATTTATTTACGTGTTAATAGACCTAAAATTAATAATTCTTGAATTTAATATGAGCCTATAATGTCAAGCACAAGATTTCTGTAATGAATAAGTAATGTTTTGGTATTTGTAGGCAAACACTGCAGCCAATTTTCATACAACAATTCACCATGGGATCTTTAACATCCATCTGAAATGCTGTGTCCAGCCCTTGGGACATCCTCCCAACGTGAAAGACGCTATACAAATGTAATCTTGTTGTTGAATAGGCAGACTGGGCCTTGGTTTACCATCTCACCTGAAAGAGACTGCAGTCTTCTCCCTGCACTGCATTTGGATTTTCAGTTTTATAATAATAATCCTTGCATTTGATATAGCGCTTTTCACGTCGGGAGGACATCCCAAAGCACTTCACAGAACACACTGTAAAGTGGAATTGACTGTATATTTGTGGGCAAACGCGGCAACCAATTGCGCACAGCAATGTCCCACAAACAGTCGTGGATTGAAAATGATCAATTTATTATTGTTTTTTTTTGGAGGGATTATTATTATTAGGCGTGTGGAGTAAGGAAACTTGCCCAAGGTTTCGTCCTGAAATTGAACTCAGGTCTCTCGCTTGCAAAGCGAGTGCTCTAACCACTGAGCTACAGGACTCCACGATGAGCTCAAAGTGCCAACGTGGGCTTGAACCCACAACCTTCTTACCCAGTTAGTGCTACCAGCTGAGCCAGGTTTACACCAGTGGCTACACACATTTTTTGGAGTAAAATGGGTACATTTCACAATGTGAAAGTTTTCACAGTTAATTGACTTCATGAATTTTGGTGCTGTTTGAATACTTTACATTATTGGGGAAACTAACTGGGGAAAGAACACTGAATCTACTCAGGTTGAAGTTGCTAGATTAATATATAAATAAGGTGATTGACAAAGCAATCTAGGTTAGGACATCCCATTAAGATGATTCCACATAGCAATGGCTATGCTTACAGTGCTCGGGAATTACGGTTATGCTAACCAGATGTTAGACTGTTCTGGTGCTGAGTAGCTGCCTTAAAAAATTGCTGCTATCAGGATTGTTGGTCACCTCTAATGTTACTTTCTGTGTGCTATGCTCAAGAAGTGTCACTGATTTAGGTGTAGGTAATGGTATTTTGTGGTGCTTCCTCTGCATGTGCGCAACACACAGGAAATTGCAATAATCTTAATAATCCAGAAGTTTGCTAATTTTTCTTTTTTGCTTGTAAGATAACCTAAGGTTTTGGACCCAATGATATATTGTCTTGCAGTTGCATCTGATGGATAGTAAAACTGGATTTAGGTAATTTTGCGATATATAGCCAGAGTCACAAATTCAAGCATTTGCGCATTCATTGCAGGAGTGAAAGCTTGCACATAAAATTACAGTATCGTTCTTTTAAATGTTCTTGTATTGACAGAATTCCTTATGATCTGAATCAGCTTCCAGGAACTGGTAAATTGAATAAATATGACAAAAGTAAATGTTAGTTAACTGGATTATTTTAAACTAACTACATCACAGTAACTTTGACATCATTAAGTGTCTTTCACTTGGATGTCACAAAGGAAATTGTTAGTAATAAAAGATGGGTCACTGTGTATTGAATTATTTGTGAATGTTGCCAAGTTATTATACAGTTTGTAGTTGTTCATAATAATAATAATCCTTGCATTTGATATAACACTTTTCACGTCTCAAAGTGCTTCACAGAATATGCTGTAAAGCGAATTGACCGTATATTTGTGGGCGAAACGCGGCAGCCAATTGTGCACAGCAGTGTCCCTTAAACAGTCGTGGATTGAAAATGACCAATTTATTATTGTTTGGTTTTGGATAGAAGAGAATGTTTGAAATAGCTTTTAATTAAAAAATATGACAAAGCATGTTACCATTAAAGTAGTAAACTTTCTATTTAATTCCTTTGTAGCCTGACATTCAGTTCAGTTGTATGGCCCACTCAAAACTTTGCATTGTGGGAATATATTTAATCAGGAAGATTCAATATCATTCAATACATTCAGATCATATGTTGAGTGGTTTACATTTTAGTCTGTTCTAAAAATTGAATTAATCTTTGATGTCCCCTGATAATGTCATGAATTAAATGCAAATGTGTTAAATGTGAGTCATTGTAGACCACATTGTTACAGTTTTGATACCTGGTATCTTTTAAATTGGTCTCATCTGATATTGTGCTACAATTCTTTTCAACCCGTGGTTTGGGGGGAATAGTACAGAATTCCCGATTAGTCATTTGACCCTAATATGCTGGATGAGAGCAACAACAAAACTATATTTGTATAGTGCCTTTCATGTTGGGAGGACGTTCCAAGGTTCTGGACAGTGTTTCGGACCCGAGCTGGGGGTCAGGGTGGGGGTCAAGCGGAACAGAATAAAGTTCATCTATAATGGCCTCCATGGATATTAGGCTTTTGGAATATGTAAAGGGGAGAGAGAAAGAAAGATTCCAGTACCTGTGGAACTGTACCCCAGTATGAGTTTCTGATTTTGGTAAATGAAGGGTAAGGGAATAATTAGGGAACATATTCTAGGAGCATAAATAATTAAAGCATATTCTGGGAGTAAAACAATTGAAACTTCCCACTGTTGGTCACTGTATGCTTCTCTGACAGGTTTCTTTGTGTGACAGATGGGTATTTTTAGGGTGCAGTTTATCTTTTTATACTTCCTATTTCCTTTTGAGTGTTCCTTTAGAGCTTGCTCCACTACAAACCAACCTATTTGAATTAATCTCTCTGGACTGGAATTTGATTTGTCATTGGGTGTAACAAGATTTTGTCTTTGGAGCTGGTTGTCTACGTTTGGCGACAATTTCCTCATCATTTACATTTAATCTGTTATATTTATTATTATATTGTAGACCAATAAAATTGGGTACAATTCCCACTGTCTTGTATCATTGGTGCATGAATTTTCCCATCGGCAGTTGAGAAACGATAATTTTTTTTCAGAAAAGACATTGAAAGCTTTTTTTTAAAAGAAGCATAAATTTTGATGGATTTGAGTATCACAACACCAGTGCATTGTGGTTTTCTGTGATCATTGATCAACTAGGAGCTACATGAACCCATGGGATAGGCTCATCCCATTTCAAGCTATTCCAATGGGTTGAACCCATCTCAGATATATAAAGCTGCTTTAACAAGAGACTGGTTCTGGCAGCAGGGACAGAAAAACAACAACAACAAAATTACATTTGTATAGCGCCTTTCACGTAGGGAGGACGTCCTAAGGCAGGCGCTGGATAATTAAAATGTTTCAGATCTGAGGTTGGGATCGGGGAGGGTGGAGGGCATGGGGCAAAGGAGGGTGATCGAAGGCATGGCCGAAGAGGAGGGTCTTGGAGGAGGCAAGGAAAAGGGCAAGATGGAAGGACTGCGGGGTGGAGTTCCAGAGGTTGGGGGCAGAGTGACAGAAGGCCCGCCCGCCAATAGTGGGGCGAGTGAGTCGGGGAACGTGAAGAGGTCTTAGAGGTAGGGGGGAGCAAGGCCATGGAGGGCGAAGAAGGTGTGAGGACCAGGATCTTGAACTGTATCCTCTATGTGATGGGAAGCCAGTGGAATCGGGTGAGGATGGGGGTGATAGGGTCACTGAGCCTGGTGCGGGAGAGGACATGGGCTGCAGAGTTCTGGATGATCTTCAGCCTATGAAGGGAGGAGTTGGGGAGGCTGACAAGAAGGGAGTTTATATAGTCAAGC